TTTAAATTTTAAATCATATATATATATATATAAGAAATTCACCATAGTCGATCATTTTTCTCACATTCGATTATGATTAATCAATTTCTTGTGGCTATCAAGACTTTAAAAAAGGTAATGGCTTTTTGTAGAAAGTTCATAAAAGGAAAGTAGAGTAGATAGTGCAGTTCTCTACTCTGATTGATGTTCTGCAATTTTCAAGTTACCTCCGCAAATTCTAACACTGTGTGTGTGACAAAGTGAGTTTAGAGTACAGCCTACTGGCTCAAGAAAGGACCGGAGCTGTTTCTCTTCACCTTGACTGTGTTCCACACCGATTTGAAAATCTGTATAGTATAGGTATGTAACGTAAATTGTAAATATCAGTGCTATAGCAAACTATATCGAAATTATATCGACCTAAGTATAACCGGAATCTGAAGTTTAAAGAAGTCAATTATTCCGCTCGTTACCACAAGATTATCTCCTAAAAATGACAGATGATTTTAATGAATTTGCTCCGTTCTCCCCTTGATTCTCTCACTGCTACGAAAACGTTTACCGCGCTCTGCGATCCACGACACGAAGCGTGCTCACGAGCCCGAGGGGGTAACCACTATCTGAAATATTGTCCCACAGAGATTTCATGATTTCATTTAATTTTATATAATTTTATTTGATGACAAATATAATTTTTCCTCACTATATATGCGGTCATTTGGTGAGATAAACAATTTTATCTAATATTACACAATTATTTCTTGTAATTGTCGGATTATATATCGAATTTTATATAAATTTTATAATGATTTCAGGGACTCCGTTCCACGATTACATTAAGTGATTACCCCCTCGCACGAGCCCCTATTCGTAATACCGGGAAAAAACGTGTTATCGAGATAGCGGGCGTTGAAAAAGACACTGCATATGCGCGCGTGACCAACCATTTCACATGTTGTTTGTTCAACAATCCACTTTGGCCACGCTCGGCAATGTCCAACTGTTGCCTTCTCCCTCCCTCCCCCATGGAGTCGCGGCTGGCTGGCATACACCTACCTTCTTCGCAGATAAGGCAGGTCGCGTAACGTGCTACAATGGATCGATTTTACAATGATCGTGATCCGATTCGTAGAAATAATTACAGATAATTTCCAGAATTGGGAAGTAACGCATTACTTATAACGCCGTCACCTTTTTTTTTTGGTAACGATCGTTATTTTTTGTCTGTACGATAACGGTAACGTCATTATACATTTTTACAGTATTGATAACAATTCAGAGATGTTGCTTTTATATTTATACAATAAAAGTATTTATACATGTAATATACATAGTATTATTTAAATACTTTTATTATAGTATTTTAATTATTATAGAGTATTAGAGTACTTATATAATCAAAAAATCGTGAATTAAATAATGTATTAAGATATTATTATCCAAATATTTATGTTAATAATTGCAAATTTATATTCATTGTCGACAATTCTTTGTTATATTCTTCAATTACTTAGGCTAGAAATGAGCGATACAGCGTTGGATTTCTAGTTGAATTTTCGTTTTACTATCGCAAAACCATATTGGCTGCGATACTAGCAGTGCCAGCAATACAGTAGCAAAACGTAAATCCATTTAGAAAAGCAGGAAAAAACAATGTGTGCAGTCGGCTTTAGCGACCGGTTATTGTGTACTATATATTATCTCACTCTGGCTACAGTCCACTTGATATAAATGCTTCAAAGCATTTTTTGAATAGTCAATTAGTAAAATTCTTTTTTCCGATTGGTTTTTTTTTCAAAAGCTTTGAAGCACTAATTTACAGACACAATATAAAGAAATGTAAAGAGCATATGTAAGAGCCAAATTTCAAATGAATGAATTTTTTAATTTTTAATTTACAGCGTCAAGTGGATCGCACTCTGTATAGTACATAAATATCTACGTGAAATCGCACCCTTACTCATATAACTATGCATTAGAAACACAATGAAAAGAACAGGCATTCAATAGTAAACAGGAAATAAGAGATTTCAACCTATCAGAAATCGTCCATTCTAGTATACATGATTTCTGATAGATTGAAGTTTCTTTATTCCTTGTTCCTATTATCTGTGCTTTTTATTGTCTGTGTTTCCAGCTTCACACATTATTCATGTGGAATGGTTAATTCAAATGTACAATAATAATTAAAATAAAAAAAAGATATTAAAATAAATGCGGAATAATAGCCGTTAATTTTACGTATAACTATCTTAATTTTCATTAAAAAATTGGTATAAATATTTGTCTTTTTCATGTGCCATGTTCACTCGTGTTCGTCGAAATATGTCGCCAAAATATTTTGAAAGGACAATCAACAGAAGCCAGGACAGATTAAAGCAAATATTTAATTTATTTGTGAATCTGCGCAATCATAAAATATATTCATATAACGATCAACGAGATATAACATCGATAGAGCTCGGCGCTGAACGTGACGAGACAATCAACATGTAGGAAGTGGATTCGTACGTAATCACGGATAACGTTAAAGAAAATCGCGTGACTTTCTCGCAATTTTTCTCGAGAGCGCACCTTGTTAATCGGGCCTCATCATTTTTCTTCTCGTGATAAGAAAGACGACGACGCCTCGCTACAGGAAGGAGGGAGAGAAAAAAACGATACGTTGCTTTCTCATTATTTATACATTTAATATATGAAAATAGAATCCACGGTGCGCAGCGGGATACGCCGATGTCATCGATCGAGCAAAAGGACGGGAGAGGGTAGGAAAAGGAATTAAAGAAAATATCGCAAAGAGAGGATTGCGGATTAAAATAAAATTCAGCTTCACGGAGTGTAATCGTGTGACGCTGAACGTTTTGTAACATTTATAATCCGACTACGAGTCATATCACTTGGCAGACGCATATTCGACGTGCCTAATTAAAATCACGACGTACGTTAATCCGGAATGGATGGAGCCCTTAATTCTCTCTAAACGACGAATTTCGTCTCCGACTTCGTCGAGGCTTGTGCTACGTAAAGACCAATCGACGGATCGATCTGTTAATTGCGGGTGAGTTTTGCGAATAATACCGTGATTGTTACGTCCATTCTATCGAAGCCTGCCATAGTTATAAGACCATGGCACACAAAAAACATAAACAGTAAAACGCAAGCAATAAAGAAATTATTGGGTGCGTTTAAACCAGACAAAACTGCTAGCCTACTCGCCAAGCAATTGAATGTGATTGGTTGGATCTATAAGTAACAATCATTTATGGAAGAAGAATACAGGTGAAATAATGCGCACATAATGGCAATTTAGAGCAATCAGTTAGCAAATCAAATTCTGTCTTAAAAAGCAGCGCGATATTCAAGTACAATGGCTGCAGAGAAAACTAAGTTAGCGCTTAGTGATTCTTTAACATGATTGGTTCCTATACTTTGATCCAACTTAGAGAAGAATTAAAGGCAAGAACCAATCATATTAAAGAATCCTTAAGCACTAACTGATTAAATTTTTTTGCTGAATGCAGCCAATGTTAATCAGTGTATGTTAAATATATAAAAGCATAAATAAATTTTGCTGTATTGCTTTTTGTATTCTTAGGATAGATTCTGATTGGCTATTACCAAATCAGCTACTGCACATCCTTCAAGTTATTTCACCTGTCTTCTTCCACCATGCAACTAATCATGTTTATTTGTCGGCGAGCAAACTAGTCGCTTTGTTAACTTGAACACGTGCGTTCATGTTATGTTGAATTTACTACTGCTTATGTTTTACAGCACGTTTTTTTGTGTGCTTAAGACAATTTTTAAGACCATTGTATGATGTTAAGACAATTTCTTCCACAATTAATTCCTAAAATCTTACTCAGATTACTACGTAATTCTTCAGATAGAGCCCGTATTTATGGTTCGATATACATGCACGGAATATACGCGTTATTCGCAGAACACGCGCGCATACATGTTTTTTCTTTGTGTGTACGGAGCCGCACCCACTTCCATAGAAGAGAAGCGAACGGATCGGTATAATGACTGCTAATTAAATGCATATTTGTATTCTATGAATAAGACAAATCAAGAATCTCACGCAAAAGAGTTGGACAGAATGTAGTAACTGATGTTAGTTAAATCGGAGCGCACATATAGGGTCTTCAAAAAGTTTTGAAAAACATTATGTATGTTGAAAGTAAAGCACTTTTCAGGAAAATGTTTCAGATAAAAGTTGTAGGGTTTAAAACGATCTATTTACTGATTACATCCGTTTGACCCTGAACGACATCGTCAGGTTACAATCAATTTTTTAAACCTTTTTTTGCTGCATAATGTGAAAGTATTATCCAGGGTCAAACGAATGTGACCAGTAAATAGATCTTTTTGAATCCTTTTGTGTCTGAAACATTTTTATGAAAACTACTCTGTTTTTGACATATTTTAGAGTTTTCGGACTTTTTAAAGACTCTGTATAAGAATAAACTTGTGTTACAAGGAATATCATAAATGAATTGTAAGAACAGAGAGTAAGATCAATGTAATGCTACAAATGCTTTGAAATATCCGTTGATTCAATTTGTAAAATTCTTTCTTCTGATTGGTCAAACAAATGCTTCAAAGCATTTGTAATGAAACTTTGACCTAGAGAGGGAATTATCTTTATATCTTTTTGCGTTGTAAGGCAAATAATACAGTGCGGGTGCGGCCCGATCTACTAAAGTCACTAGATTTTATAAAGTATCTCAAACTTTATCATTTTGAAGCAGACGCGGTCATTGCAAACTTATTATGTATTTATATTAACACATTTTGTAAGAGAAAATAAAGCCGTAAATTATGTAAATTCATTTTTCGTTGTCATTTATTTATAAACAAAGAAATTATGTGCTTAATTTATGTATTCTTTAGTCTAATACATGTTTATTTATCATTGAAATTTCAGTATAAAAGAAAATACAATCCAATTTCGGAAGATGAAACATATTAACACATAATACAACCGAAAGAGAAAATAAATTTTAGAAGAGGTGAATGTTTAGTTTGACAAAAAATGTATAGAACATATTGCACAAGTTAAGGTAGCTGCATCTATTTAATATGTAAATAAAATAATGTATTATGTTTCGGCCATTTTTTGATACGCAAAAATGCTTCAAAAGTGGATGCTATTGCGTTACTTTATAAATCTGTAACTTTACAATCTACATCTCAACAACTTGTACACGGCGAATCGCAACTCGGCGATTCATCTTCGCGTATTCGAACTATGATCGAGCTACGACATTGGCCGTATGTCCCTACGACTCGGCCGTGCATAAATATATGTATATGCATATATATATTATATATATACATATACACATATATATATGTTTAAATTTGTAAATCACGACGCGAAACAGGGCCGCTACTTCGCGCTCATGTGCTATGCGCGTCTCCGCTGTATGTGTTGTACGATATTAATTATTTAATCTGAGATTGTTAAGATATACGAGATTCTATATCGACTCTCATTCTCTCTCTTTTTTTCTACTCTCTTTCTTTCTCTTTTTTCTTCTAGCACGGTCCATACTCGTCAATGCGAACTTTAGCAGCCGACCTGGTGCAACATTGATGCAAATCGGAACACACGCATCCAGGCGAACATGCCGGTGGATGGTGAACGGCAGACGGGCGCTCGTGTCGATGACGACGTTGATGAGGCCTTGCGTTGCTCCTGCGTGCTGGATGCCGACGTTCGGCTGAGAGTGGCATCCATAGATGCGGCGTCGCTGCCCTCCGATTTCCGCTGCTTCTGGTGCTGCTGCTGCTGCGGCGAATACTTCATATCTGCGATTACGCGAGAGGTAAGATGAATACCGAGAGAATTCGGAACTATGCATGACAAGACGTAAGGGCCTTGGCACACAAAAAAACTTAAGCAGTAAGAAAATCGATGTGTCGGACTGACTACTGCTGTTTATTTATAATACATTATGCGACTTTACGGTCTTTATAGATGATTGGCCAATTCGCTTATTACTTTAAGCTTTTCTGTGTGTCATGTGGCTTTAAGACAGCGCAAGCACAGGCGTAAAGGGAATAAATTAATTTCATTTCCAACGCCTGCGCTCACGTTACGCTGGCTGTTTTGCTGGGTTTACAAGGTTACACACACTCATCGCCGACTTTTCTCTATTAAATGCTTGTAAATGTTGAAATGAATGTGGAAGATTATTATAATGATGAGAAGATAATGAATCACAGACTTCTGTGTATGTCGAAAAACGTGGTTCACTCTCCCCCACCACCCGCTATTACGTCCAGTAAAAAACGGGGAATAGGGTGGACCTCTCTTCGGGTGGAAAGTTGGTCACCCCTAAGAAGCAGAGAAGAGTGGACCGAATGGACCAAGGGTGACCAAATGTCTGGTTTTTCCCGGATATGTACTTTTTCAAGTCCGGACATCACGTCCGGACACATCTGGCCAAGTTTTCAGCGTGTTCGGAATATATACTTTTTTTGATACTTTTATCACACACATTTTAAAAGAGAACAAAGGAAAACTTGCCCATTAAATCCAACGCATATGGAATACATAGAACGCTTCCATATATCATTTTATCCTTGTCCAACATTTGATGACAACAAGGCTGAAATAATACTCGCGAATATAACGTTAAGTAGAACGCACTTAGCCCGATAAGCTAAATCTTTCAGAATTGACTTCAGCCGGTTTTATTGCAAAATAAGTATAGTTACCAAATAACTTTTTGAAAAGTTTGTAACATTGATATGTTTTACACGCTCGTATTTATTATTAGCTTTTTACAGTATCGAGCAATGTAACACTCTGTGTTACAATTCAAATACTTTATGTAAGACACAGAGAGCACACTGTGCAAAAGTAAAATATAAATCGGTGAATATATCTGTATATTATGCGCGTGAATATCGTCGAACATGCATACAGGATGTGAGAGATCATTAGATAGACCTTGTTGCTAATTATCGCATTTTATAAAAACGGAAATTGTTCCATTACCACAATGTACCGCATTAACATAAACAATGTGAGGTGTCGAGATTTATAAAAGTATAGATTCTACATTTAATTATATTATAATATGTATCCCATGATTATGCTTTAGAATTAAAAAAGAGAAGTAAAAATAAGGGGGATAGAAGAAATATAGAAAGAAGAAAAACACAGAGAAGCAGAGAAAATTAATTTTTTCCTTCTTGTGTTATCCCAATATCTTAATAACTTATAACAATTACTATGAATATAATTATCTCGAATATCGATACAATTCTGACAGTTCTGAGAAAAGAATTTATTCGGATACGATCTCCATAAAGGAAAAAGGTTTTTCGAAGCACGATATCCTTGAAGAGTCCAATCGCGTTTCGAATCGTCCATTCTGGTTGGCGCATGATTATGATGTCCCGCTGTTTCATTAATTCACTAACAGCGAACTAGTTTTCTCTCGTGAATTATTGATTAATTTAATGTAATTGATAAATCTATTACGATCACAATCGTAATGCCTCAAACAACTCGAAAGTATGAAATGCGTAAGAAACTTTTTCTAGACATTCGGAAAATATTAGAACTCTAATTGATTTATCTCGGAGGTACATTGTTATGTTGTTCACAAATTTGATAAACACTGTTAAAAAAGGAAAATTATCAAAGCAAAAGTTCTTAACGATCATCAAAATCTTTAGCTTTAACGAGAGTGCATTATAATCAATAATAGTTATCGTCGTTCTTACATTGCACTACGATGGCTTCAGTAAAATAAATATGACATGTCACTAAATGTGAAATTCACGTTGAATCGATCTGTTAACATAGAGTGCAAATGTCGAGGCAATTGTAATTTGGCTTAATGACGGATATTTATTTTCGATGTTACGAAACGATAACATTATTATAACTACATAATAAAAAAATATGTCGATGAAAGACACGTTTTCAATTTTATGCAGAACCACAGAAAAACTATCCCTCGCGATACGATTGCTGTATTAATTCTTTCTATTTCTCACAATTGCCTCTCACAGTTGTAGATTTGATTGCAGAATTAAGTAGTTCTCCAAGTTATCAGAGACCAATTCAGAGATCAATTTAGAGATCAATTTCTTTATTGAATCGCACTCAAATCACTCACCTGATGGACTCGTGTTTGATCGTTACAGCTCGTTTGCCGAGCGAGAATGTTGGAGCACTTCAATTAACTAGTTGGTGAACACCAGTAAACCGCACAGTGGTCCAGTGCGTGGCATATAGCGTTCTGTGGATCGCAACGAAATGCATCGAAATCGAGGGATAGGGTATGGAAAGACAGGGGAAAAGAGGAGAGGAGAAAGAGGTGAGGATCTCCTCCCCGTTGCGCACCTCCACGTTGACACAATCGTTGGCAAACGGAGGTGAAAGTAGGGGGATGCTCGTCTCTTGGTGGTTGCGCACCCCAGAGCGCCGACGCTGCATCGACCCATTGGTCGGTGGTTGCTCGATGTACGAAAAATACCGATGACAGAGCTATTACGATTGCCGTATATCAAAATGCACGTTCTGTGTACCACACATGTATTATTTTTTCCTCACTTTTATTCATAATTTTCGAAATTTATTGAAAATTTAAATTTATTTATAATTCTGCGAACGTTCACTCGCTTAATTTATCGAAGACGCAAAGATTCGAACCATCGTCGTTTACAACTTCTTGTATATACAATATACCAATTCGGTTTAATTTATTTGCTTCACAAAAAAGATCCTTGTACCCCACGCAAAACTATGTCTCTTGTTTATTATATGTATTTAGGTCGATTAAATACATCCTGAATCAGGTCAGATCTTAAAAGCCAGCAAGAATATTTTAGAAAACGAGAACATGTTTTTACGGAATTCCAAATTTTTAGTTATTCAAAACGATAGAATTTTTCTATCGTTCTTTATTAACTTTTTTTATCAGGGGAAATATAATCGCACGACACAAGTTCAAGGTGTTTTCCATTTTATATTTTATTCTCGTTGTTTAATGAATGTTAAACAGCACACTATACGTAAAATGAACAGGAACTCTCAGATAATCGTTAACTGTTTGATAAATCATTAGTTTTACTTATCGACAAAACTTTGAGCACTTTGCTATAAGAATTATTTCATTTTTGTCTCCATTATTTTGACGTGAAACATGCGAGCAGATTTAGACATCCTTCTATAGACGAACTACACGTAGTATATATCCAAATTTTCTCTCCACGTTGGAAAGAAAAAGAGGAAAAACGAGAAAGAGATAACAAGTTCAACTAAAAAGAACGAGCCTATTAAAATTACCTTAAGGATTTTTCACAGTATTCCATTAATAAACTGTTCGGGTGAATATTTATTTTCAACATTAAAAAGAACAAAACTTATCTATAATACGAACAAACGTGAATCAAAAGAAATTAAACGCTTTCGCTGCATTAACGGTCCACGTGAAATTGTTTAAAAAATTAAATTGCGAGGCAAAAAGAATACAACTAAAATAAACAACACTGTTTTCTAATGATTCAACAAATAATTATTATACCATATATGCCTAATTATATACACCATATATTGTTATAATTTGTAAAATTCAATAAATGTAAGACCCGGTTCCTTACAAATGTTACTTTAATTGTAATTTTGGTTCAAGTAACTCTGCTTTCGGAAGAAAATTAGCAGTAAGCTGAACAGCTTTTTTTTTAGTCGCTCGTTTATTTGAAAAGAGCGCCGATTGTGTGTTAAGGGAGCGCCACAAAATACAAGGCCTAGGGCGCCGAAGTGTGTAAATCCATCACTGTGTGCGAGCAATTAAAGTTAAGCATGATTGCGCGATGAAAACATAAAGATACTCACTTTGATCAATATCCTCATTTATTCTTAGATTTTTGCCATTATGTGGAAAGGCATAAATAATTATGTCATTATATTAACAACTATGTTACCACTTTACATTAAAGGGATCCTAAGGTCGTCTGTTTTACCGATTATTTTTAAAATATTTTTCAAACTGTCTTCACAAATGTAAAAATCCTCCATAATTACAGTGTAAGCGATAAAATAATCAAAACCGGTCGACTTTATGTCAAAAACGAAAAAAGTTGAAAAATTAGTTTTGTTATCGGCTTCTAACGTCGATTCGCAACAATATTTGTTTTATGTACGATAAGATTTACACTTTGTATATATAAAACAATTTTTACTTGGACTAGAAATTTTATGACAATATTCTTAGAATTAGATATCTAATATAAAAGATTGGTTATTTAAAAAATTTATTATACGGAAAAACGATTATGGTTGCCACGACTAAAAGTCGCCCATCAATATATATTTTTTGATTATATAAAGATTTCATATTCTTATACCTCAAGAACTTTTCAAAACACTTAACACTATAATAAAATATTTTTTCATTAAGTATAACAATTTTTGAATTACATATAAGCACTTAAATTCAGCAAATCATATCGCCTAAAGTTTGCGCGTTTAAGTGTAATAGGTAAATGCCGACGCAAAATGTCAATCATACTTAAACGAGCAATTTTAAGCAATATATTTCGTTAATTTTACATGCTTATAATTTAAAAACTATTATAGCTTCGATACTCTGGTATTAAAATTTTCATCTCAAAATGACCTTAGAAATCTAGTCTTAGCCGTTGTTACAGTCTTTACTGAACACCTTGTATATATGTTAATATTATTGTAACACGTTAATTTCACGAATATATGAACGGAGTCGTAAACTTACCTATCGGCATACCACGTCGAAAAGTACAATTTCTTTGGCGTAGATGGACTTTTGGGCGAGTTCGCCATGTTTGTGATCGGTGACGACTTTGTTGAAGATGACGAGAGCGAGATTCCGCTCTCCGGCGTACAAGGCGATCGATTCTCTTCATCAGCGTAAGTTCCTGGCTGCCAGGAATATCTTGTCCTAGTGCGAGGACTGCCATGACTAGGGCTCGATCCGCGCGAACTTGATACGCTTTTCGAATTCTTGGGACTTTTGAGCCCATCAGAGCTGAATACGCGACCTAAACGTAGTCTCAAGGATGTCTTAGCTTTGAGTCTTGCAACATAATTGTCACTGACACTCGAAACGGCCCCATCGGGCAACTCTAAATTGCTCGTCATAATTCTCGAACGATTCGTTGGAATATATACTTGACACCTTTATAAGAATATTAATTGAAAAATATGGAAAATTATTAGATTATAAGCTTAATAAATTAAAATATTCAAAAAAGTTCAAATACACGATTTAAAAATTCAATACGAATTTAGACCGACAAAAGTAATTCCGATTAAATAAGAGAATTCCTATTGTCAATGTGGATCTTACATATTTAGATATTTTTCTGTGAATTTATATAAATGTCCGATTCTGCAATCTGTATGCCGAAATCTTTTTCGGTCTCGAAACGTGATTATGAACAGAATCAGAGTAATATTACTTATTAAATTGATAAGCAATGTAATATTTTGATGCAAATAAGGACTTTTATAAGAATTTAATAATTAGATATTAATGGAAATATTAAATCTACAATTTTATAACGAAAAATATTGTCTCAATTAGGGTTTGAACCTGGAACTCCGTACTTTCAATATGTATTATGTCACAAGTTAAAGTGTTAACTATGTTAACTTTAGTAAATATATATGTACATAACTTACTAGTCAACGTATACATCACTACAGTAGACTACAGTAAGTATATTCATTTACTGAGTTAATACTTTGACTATGATGTATATAAATTCATACGATTTTAAGCACTAAGATCCGCTTTGACTGAAAAGGTTTCTTATTTAATTACAAAAAAAATAAAAAATCATAATTTATATTTAAAATTAAAATTTGTTTTTTAAATTTACGTTTTTTTTCACGAATATCGTTGACGATAAAAACTTCCGTGTATTTTGATTACCACAAGTATGTAAATTGCACATATACGTGTTGTATCAAAACGGTTCACTAAAAGCGACTGGATAAGATTTCTTTAAGGAATCAGGAGACACAGTAGTGTCTCGGCGTTAAGCGCAGCGACACTACCGTGTCCTTTACACGAAATCGCGAGTTGCGGGTTGAGTAAACCCCAATCGAGCTAGACTTCCTGTCGCTAACCACATCTCCTTCCTCTTTCACTCTTATCAACTGGAACAGGAATCCTTAAATGTAAAGCAGGAAAGTCTAATAATAAAATGGGAAAAGTACAATTCGTGAAAACGATAAGATAATCAAGTGATATTTCACGAACAACAGCACTTCTCTAATCCAATTAAAGCTCAAAAATCTTACCAAGGATATTTAATCGCTTTGTAAATACTCGATTATCGAATTCACTTTAATTTGTTACGAGCGATCAGGATCTTACACATAACTACCTGAGAATAAATGGAACAATTGCAAATTTTGAATTGCCTAGTCTGTATTTCTTTGATTTACAGATCAACACTTACTGCATGGTACAATGATAATAAATAATTAAGGACACGGGATCCGCAGAAAAGTGGTTCAACCACTCGTATGGCGGGCGTTAGCGCTCCCGAGAATATCTTTTCGGTATGATGAAAAAGGAAAAAAACAGAGTTGAGCTAGCTCGACTCCTGTGTCACGTCATGTACATATTTGAAATTGTCTACTTATCAACAATACAATAACAATTTATTACTATTTAAACACGTATTGCGAACGCTTTTGAGTACCATCGAGAGGAGAGTCCATGGGATGAACACGAGTGAGATGACAAAACATGATGAGATGATAATCGTACTAATATCGCGACTCATGCCATGCTCGGCATCTCGCTTGCTCACTCGCGTTCTTCACGATTTCTGCGATCGGTAGCATGGACGCGGAGAAGCATTTACTTCGTCGATTGTTCCAAATAAGCTATAAGATCACCCCGCTCTTGAGGTTTCTTTAATCCGGCGAATACCATCTTTGTACCGGGAATGTACTTCTTTGGATTTTCTAGATACTCAAAAAGAGTATCCTTATTCCAAGTGATGCCTAAAATATAACAATACAAGATTATGATTAGATGTATACATTACATAAGAGAGAGTGTATATACATATACATATTTATTCTAACAATAAGTAATGATTAATGCTATAGGTAATACAGAATAATGCTATTTATAAATTTATCATTTTTAATTGTGTGTCAATAACTAAACACATACCTTTCGCTTTATTGGCATCGGTATATAGGAAACCAGGGGCTTGACCAGTTTTTCTACCTATAAGTCCATGTAAATTGGGACCTACTTTGTGTTTGCCACCCGCTTCGACAGTATGACATTGTGCACATCTTTGGATGAAAATCTAGAAGAACAAATGCATAATTATAAGTTGTTATAGTGGGTTATTAAATTTTATCTTTATGGCTGCATTCGGTTTTGATGCTCATACATTGTAAGTTTTATTCTATCATTTTTCTGCATGTATTATAATAAGTGATAAAGATAGAATAAAGCGCGTAAGCGTCAAAACTGATCACAGTTAAATATTACCTTCTTTCCTTTTTCTGGATCACCCGCCGGAACACCCATATTTATTTAATTGTGTATTCTAGAAAGACATTCAATTATACAAAAATAGTAAAAAATATAAGTTTTTATTTTATTTATTAGATACTTTATTAAAAATAATATCGATAACGTGCGGACCGTGAAAAACAACTGTTTTGAAAAAAGAATAGAAAATTAACATATTGAATGCTGTAGGAGTCATCGACGACCGGCAACGCGACTGTGGAATTAAACGCATAATTCACGTAAATGATAATACTTCAAAAATATGCAATATTATCATCGCTATTACAATCATATAAAGAAACTAATTCATATTAAAAAACATAAAAAAGTTTTATTAATAATCTTTGCATGTTATTAATTTATTATAAACGCATGTTGCGATGTGTCATATTAAAACATGGCAAATAAAGGAAAAGGTACCGATACAATCTGCACAATATATGACAACTTTTTTTGTACATTCTGCGCATTTGTTCTACCTATTACTTTAGCATTTTTTCATAGAGTCACGTTTTCATTTGATAATTATAGGCTATTTAAAAATTAAAATATAAAAAAAAATGCAAAAATTAATGTAATGTGTAGAAGTATGGACAGCATTATCTGATAGTTTGACAGACACAACAAGAATGAGCAAAATAAGAAACGATTGAGATAGCTTGAAATGTCAAAAATAAACAAAATATAGTGCAACTATTGAAGACATTACGGCGCCGTGGAGGTCATCAATAACCCCCAGTAAGATAAATGCATAAAATATGATAATACAATGCAACTTATCCGTTATAGATAATGTTTTACAGTAATATGTATCGCATAATATGAAAAATTCATTTTGGCGCCTTGAGCAAGTCATGTAAAATTACTTCGGCATTCAATGTGTTAAACTTTCAAATAATTAACGTTAATAATTCACTGATATCAGTATAACAATTCCCTAATAATCATCATTAAATATTAAGGCTGCGTTTTATTTAACACGAGCGAGTATTATTTCATCTTTCTTATCGTCAAATATTAAACAAGCATGAGGTAATGCATGCGAGTATTGCGAACATTAAATGGAATGCACCCACAGTTATCGATACAATCGCATGCGGTTTTATAATGGCCTAAAATACTCGTAATAATTTTAATCTTAGCTATAACAGTTTCAAAGGTATAGGTATATGTAATTATATAATAAGACGAACTTTTATACAAGATGTATTATTTTAAATTATCCAACCGATTATCTCGAAAACCGAGCCTGATTAGCAAAAATGTTTCAATCAATAGTTATATGACATAAAGAAAGACAAAAAGTAATAAAACTAATTTTCGAAAAAATTAATTTTTCAAGGTCACATAAAGATCATCGTCATTTTTTAAATGAAACTTATGATTTTTTTAAAAATTAATATTTTTTTAACCATTTTTCTACTATACCTATAAAAGTAATAAAATATTAGAGTTATAAAAATTAACAGTTTGCAAATTTTATATCTGGCATATTTAGTATAAAATAAAAAATATCTCATAAACTATTAATTTTTTAATAATTCTTAATACTTTATGCATAAAATAATGAGATGAATAAATTGATTAAAAAAAAAAACATAGATATCTGTTTTTAAAAAAAGTATGTTGCATATTATATTGCATAATCTTAGCATCGAGACATTACTACTAATATCTTCAGATTTAAAAAATGGAACACCATATAATTTGTGTTGCAATTTTTTCACAAAATATTATTTCTACTATATTATTGCAACGTTGAAATTTTTGTATCATGCTACTCCTTCTCATTTATGTTAATTGTCATACATAATGTAATAAAAAAAACGGAAAAAGTCTACAAAAAATCCTCGCGCTCGTGAAACAATTAAGATGTGCAATAATTATCAATTTTCGAATTAAGTAACATTTAACAAGCTTGATAAAAACAATAATTTTGTGACATATGTCATATAATACTGAGCGTATCAAAAGTGACATCATGCATGAAGATTCTTGAAGAAAATAAATTGAAAATCGTGTAAGGAGACAAATAATACAACAAGAGATGCAGTGAACATTTTATCTTTGTTTAACAGTGACAAACAACAAGGATACTATGATTCACTGTGTTACTGTATAATTTGTGTCTTTTGCTGGAAAGCACCCAAAGAAGACGTTTGAAGCGAGACACGTGTAACTCTAGAAATGACCTTCGATCCAATTTATCAAAACGGCGCGTCGGATAGATGCGTTTTTTTCTTGTAATTATCTACAGCACAAATAGATAGCTGCGATAATCACGATTATTGAAAAAAGTGATTAAACCAATTGCGACACCAATTAGAATTGTTCAGAAACCATTTCAGAAAGTCAAAGTAATTTTGATTTTGAGTCGATCGTGGCCACGTCTCTATTCATTGTAACAATCTCCCTTCGGATGTAGAACTCGCATTTTGCACGGTCCTAAAAATTATTTTATCCTAAAAAGTATTCGAAACGTTCGAACAGTGGCTAAGAGCCAGGGTTAAACGAGTTACGTAAGTCGCTACTGTCCGACGTAAGTAGTCACGCGAATGTCTGACTGAACGGAATTCAATGACAGGCCGAAGAGAATGAAGTATCACGGGCATACCGATTATATCCTTCCTCACAAATATATGAATTTCATCAGAATTTAATGTTATTTCTGGTTTTGCAAATCGGATTCACCGAGGCACAAGCACGTGGTGCCATCGGAATCGACGGAGATCTAAATTAGAAAAACAAAAAGACGCTATCTGCAATACATGTAAACTCCCGTATGCATGCATATTCGTTTGCTTGTACTCACCGTGCGTTTTTTTTTATACCAATATAGTTGGCTCCCAACGTCTGACCCAATCTGACCGTGAATGGCGTGAACATTAACCGCGACGGTCCGCGTTCCGCGATCGATCTAGAGTAGAATTGCTTTTACATGCACTTAATACTGGTACTCAAACTAGTAACTTTCTATTGAATTATCTTAAATTTCAGCGATACGTGTAAACATATCGTGATAGGTGCATTAATTAATCATTTTGATGCATATTGTACTTATTTAGTACATCATTCTTTAAATACATTGCTGAAATTAAGATAATTTAACAGAAAGTTTCTTGTTAATACACGTATCAAGTGCAGGTGTAAGAGGTCACTGCCTTTTAATTGGCGCTTGCCTCGAGCCAGTGTTGCCAATTCGCTAGGTTGCGTTCCAAAACTCATATCTGTCAACTTCGAGTGTCTTCGATCCTTGTTCATTATTCGGTAAACAATAAATTGTATCAGGTATATGGACCTTCTACAATAAGCCATTACTTAAGTTTTAAGTGTTAAATCATAAGAAATTTACCAATCACAATCGAATGTGAGAAAAATAATCGACTGTGATGCCATGGTTTATAGGCCTTCTACAATAAGCCATAAGTCATAAATCGGAAGAAACTAAAAATTAACGACTGTGATTGGTCCATTTCTAGCTTATGACTTATGATTTGTGATTTACGGCTTATTGTAGAAGGCCCATTATGCTTCAAGTCTTAATCTCAAGATCCTAAAATTCAATCAATAAAGCTGCCAGTTCTAACTGAAATTTGAACTCTATTGGCTAAATTTTAGGATTAAGACCTTAAGACCGAAGCATAAACCAGGCATGAGTGGTCAATTTCTTATGACTTAATACTTAAAACTTAGGTATGGCTTATTGTAGAAGGCCTAGAAGGCTTATTAAGCCCATTCTACATTGGTCGTATCGTAGCATCGTAAGCGTCGTGAGACTTTAAATTGACACATCGGATTGGCTGTTACAACAAATTTGTGACCTGCGACGCCTACGATACGACCAATGTAGAATGGGCTTTACGTATTATTCTAGTTGAAACATTTTGATTGGCTGACACAAGTTACGTTTACGCAAGTTACGTTGTTTGTAAAAACAGCCTAAAACTTTAGATATACCAAAATAGCGCAAAGATCTTTTATTTTTGACCTAATAATCATATCATTAAAAAAATGACTAAATTTCTATATTCACGGTACTAGAACTCGGTTCGATTTCTTGGATCCAGGAACGAGTGGCCAATCAACATGTAGTGTTTACGGAAAAACGACAAGTTGATTGGCTACACACTTCAAGAAATCGGACCGAGTTTTAGCACCGTGGATACAAGACTTTATGGTAGGCGCGCGCTAAGCATCATAAGTCAAACGGCGCGCCTATCAAGCAATTCCTATTCCTCTCGCAACGAGTGATTGCGACTGATTGCGACTGATGAGCATATACTTACAATTAGCTCGATTAGCCGTACGGGAGAGGGGGGGGGGATACGTGCTTATTATAATAATCCTTAGAAATTAATACCTTCGAAAGGATTGTGAAAATTATAAAAAGGTAAAGGACTTTTTAATTTAGTTCAGTTCACTCTATCTGCTCACGCGCGAGAGGCAATCCCATATGTAGAGAATACCTTATATAATTATTTGTTTATTTACACATATATGTTAATACATCTATATTATTTTGTATATAATCATGCATGATGAATTTTTTACCGGGATGCGCGAGCTAAAACCTTCTGAAGGTCACTCGATGAGGGTTGTGAAAATATGTCAAGATCAAGGTCATCAGATCTGGGTTCATTATCAGTATTTACTAAAATAAATATGATACATAATGTTTTAAATAATACCACTTGCAGATTTACAAAACGTTTATTTTATTTATCACGATCTGAAAGATCCTTGTCATTAGTGAATCAATTCGAGAATAATAATTCAATAATTAGAATGTAACATATAATTTAATAGAATGATATAATCAGTCTACACATAAAGGAAACTTGTATGTAAATAAATAAATATATATGTATATATGTAATATTATTTCACTTGTATAATATACATATACGTATATGTATGTTACGCGGCACACAATCTTGAAGATATTATACATTTCTTCAAGAATAAAAGTTTTTGTTACCTATTTTGTCTTTAAAGGAAGGGAGGGTAAAGCGGAAGGAGAAGGCAAAGCGGAAAATATACGGCAGCACATTTTTTTAAATACATATTCCAATATCTAAACGTGCCGCGATCGGGACTTTAAGTATGTATACGAGTCGCTATCTTATTTCGTAAGATAACGTTTTGTAAGGTCCCTCGGATATTTGATAGATACATATGATATTTTCCGTTTCGCCCACGCCTTTCCGTTTTGCCCTACTCTTTTTTATCCTTTTCTAGAAAAAGATAAATAACGTGCCTATCTCTTATCTATGTATTATAAAGATATACATACAATGTTTCAAGTGTGTGTATGCATGCACCAATTAAATACAAAGAGTTATAATTTAAGATTGTGTAAAGTGATTTTTGTATTTCCACTTAAGAGTGCGTTTCTGCATGATTTCTTAAATTACAAATGATAATATTTTCAATTTAATAATAATGTTATTTAATGCTCACGAAGTTATACTATTAAAATAAAATTTGTAATATATATATATATATATACATATACATATTGTATATATAATTGTGTTTTATTAAAAGATAATCGCGACATATTTTTTTGTTATACTTTTTGGTATTAATTACATCCTTTTCTTTTTTACTTATTATCATTTTCTATTTCCACATAAATTTATGTATAAACTATCAATTGCAAACATATCAACGTCGCTTTATATTTAAAAGAAGCATGAATATCATACATCAAAAAAGCTAGAATAATATTTTTAAATTAAAAAAATGTCATGTTTATTTAAAATGACATTTCTTAATTGAAAATATGAGTTTAGATTTTTATACGACCGTCCATTCATACGACACGTATAATAAAAAAAAAAAAGACATTTTTAAAATATAATTCAAATCCAAGCTATGAGCTTACTAAAAGCTTGATCAATTCAGTAATCACTGAGATCAGGAAGTCCACAAATTAATTAAACAGCACACATATAGACATGATTTACTTAATTTGCTGTTGCGCGTGTACTTACAACTAGGTTAGCACAAGATAGAGCCGTCTTTCTTGATTATTTGTATAATATAAAATATTTTCTTGGTTTTTTCTTGCGCTTTAATGTGAATAATTGTATTACTTCAATTATCTAGTAATCAACTTTACATTGATAAAAAGTTGGTATTAATCTTACTATTGCTAACCTAATCTCCATTATAGTTTTATAATAATGAAATCCAACGAATTCGAACATTTTCTATAAATATCTAATTCCACGAAAACATTAGCAATAGGTTGATCAGAATGCATGAAGAAATAAGACGTTGAGACCAAGTTCCAGCTCCAGGCATTGCCGAATTGCAATAGTCAGTTAAACAGGAACAAACTTCTTGTCTACCACCAAAGCCACTTCGCTGATAACACTTGCCTTTATAATTTGTTTCATCCCATCCGCATCCTCGAATAACTCGTGTATCTGGTGGTACTGTATAAAAAATATTAATATTTTTATATAAATATCAATTTGTTTTATGTTAAATATTATTTTTATATATATATATACAGTATAATTTATCATTATTTTTGTAGTATTACTATATATAAACGTTTATTGCATTTTATGCAAACGTACATCATTTTATGTTTTTTCTTTCAATTACATATGTATTTCGATAAGATAGATTTTTTACATATACATATAAAAAATAAATTACATAGTTTAATTAATACGTTAAGTACTGTGTCGATTACTGCGATGATTAATTCTAACAGGCGCTACTGAATTTAAAAAATGCTAAAAAAATGCAACTCATAAAAAATGACATTAATAATTCTGTATATATATAATATTATTCTTATTCTATAAATATAATATTAAAGTATAATAATCTAAGGCATTAAATGAACTAAGTATGATGATTTTGCATAACTCAATTAGATCATATAATATTTCATCAAAATATGATCGTGAAAATTTCACTCCGGCGTTACCAGACAAGCAATTAAATTCGATATTCAACATGATAATCTAGATAAATAAATTGCTGATTTAATAGCATTAATATAATATTAACACATACAGCCATTGACGCTGAACTCGATGACTTGTGTAATTTTTCGGCACATTGTGTACTTTGCACCATCTTTAAGATCCGAACAATCTATTTTCATGGAATCTGGAGGAATAAGATCGGCACATTGGCTATTATTGCGGCTGTTACATTGATAACATTGCATAGCATTGCCACCTGTAAAATATAATTAATTTATTTCTATTAAAAAAATTTTTTTATAAGTACGCATTTATGATATATATGCAAATACGCATATATGCTGCATATGAATATAGATTTATATTTCATTTAACAAAAGTTTGCATTTCGTATTGTGATATAATTTGTAATTATTAGATAAATTAAATTTTTTACATATACAAATATGTATACATAAACAACTGTTATAAAGCAATTTTTGATTACATAATCATAATGATAACAAAAAATTAAAATTATTGTATTATACAGGAATAAAATTTAATATTAAGAAATCAGATTTGATGCTGAAAAAATCACAAATTAAGGAATTAAATGACAGTAATCAAATGTATGTACTATCTTTTGATTCAGTTTGCTTGTGATGTTATTTCCTCAAAATTACGCTCAACATATATTCATTATCATACAATGAGGTTAAAGATCATAACAGAAAGAAGATAACTAAGCACGTATCGACATTAATTTTATATAATCTTGACTTTCCACATGATACAATTTGTACCATAATTTTCACAGTAATTATTTAAATTTATATATGCGACTGCGACTCAAAGATCGTTATGAAGAATAGTATATAATTTTGAAGAAAATGATTTCTAATCTTTTAAAACAATAGGTATTTACTACAAAAACATTACGATTTTTCAGTTACATTTAACTTTCTTATTTAATTACGTATAATTTAAAATTATTAATATTATGGAAAATAGATAAGATAGTACAGGATTCTTAATATAATTTCCGTAATTAATATTATGGAAAACAAAAAAAAATAAAATAAGATTTATAACATAATATAATATTAAAAATTATTGGGCTTACACAATAATCATTATATCCATATAATTATATTACATCAGTTAATTAATGAATTATCACTATATACGCGTAGATATAGTTCATCATGTCTTCAATTATGTTACGCTGTAGAAAATCAATAGTAGTGACAGCTATGGCTGTGTTCCAAATTTACTGACAACACTGAAAATGCTACAGTTTACGTTACGTGCATTACAGATTTACAGTACAAGCAATCAATTTTGGAACACAGTTCCAAACTACGGATGCGTTCTGATATTTACTACCAATACTGAAAATTTATAATATTATATTATGTGCACTACAGATTTTCAGTAACTAGTAGTAGCGAATCTCAACCTCATTGCCCGTGTCACCTTGAAAAGATATATTCAATAAGACCGTTTATATATATATATATATATGCACAAATTGTAATTTTATTAATTTTATCTCCAAGCAAGCGTATCCATTAAAGATCGATGAAAAAATCGAGTTGCAATAATGAAATATCATTAAAAAATTTTATAATGCAATGTAAAAAAAAGTTCGGTTTATTGCTACCGATTTTGCAAACGTTCTATTTGTGTAAAACTTACAAGCTAAATTACACAAGTATTGAATTAATAAATAAATTTAAAAAAATCTCGCAATTACAATTTCATGATTAATAATTGTTTGCTAGCATAGCATTAGTAACATTGTCTTATGTTAATGCAAAATTAACTAAAAATTGTTTAAATATTTTATTTTAAATTTTTCGAAGAATTTTTTTGAAGAAAAAAGAATAAAAATGTTAAACATTTTACGGTGCAGATAATTTTGGATATACGTCGCCACATGTTGATTTTAGCCGAAAAAATAAATTTGAGATTAGGCAAAGAAGTATCTCTTTTGTTATTTAATAGCATCTTTCAAAGAGAAACAAATTGACATTAGACATTTATAAATAATGTGCTTTATTAATGATATATCTTTAAGTATTTAACAATACATCTTGAATCTAAATAAGAAAACAAGATTGGAAAATTTTATATTTTTAAATATATTCACATGGCTTACCGTTGCAACATAAAAACAAAATGATGCTGCATAGAGTGATTACAAATCTCGATCTGAAGACTTCGTTCATCTTTCTTTGCTTCTTCTGCTTAGAACGATTGATGAATAAATAGTCACTGAAAAGCTTCACTAATGTATAACAAAATACTGCAGTGCTCTCACAAAACTATAAATAAATATAAATATAAAAGAACAGAAAAATAAAGGAGGTTGAAAAATAATCAGAGAATGATAGACAAACAAGAAATAGGAAAATAAGAAAAGAGAAAGAGAAAAGAAAATCACGAATTGAAAAAACTGAGCACTATTAATGTACAGCGCTAGCGTGGCGCAAGCCCACTAACTCTAACATCGACGTTATACAATGCTACTGAACGAATAAATGGTTTCGACTGAGGAAGGGGAAGCGAGATGAATATATTGAGGCGGTGGGAGAAGAACATGGTGAGTAAATGAATTATTTACAAATAACTCCAAGACTGATCAATTTTTTTCGCTAAATGAAGTCTTTTACTTGGATTTATACTTATAATTATTCCTATGATACCCATTTCGTAGCACTTCACAGTCAATATTCTAGTAATATATTTTTAGTAATAATTTATGCGTGATTGAGTTGAGAACAACTACCATAAATATTGTAGAAACAATGATTTTATTTTACGATAATAATAATTATATATTTGTTTAAGAAACTAATTATATATATTTCAGAAAATTAGTACGTACATATGTGTATAACGTAAAGTAAATAAGAGCTTTCATATAATCAACAACAATAGCAATGAATATACTAGCCTTTATCCTGTATATTTGTGAAATAATTAAATATAAGAATAAAATATAATAACAATTTAACAAAGTTTATATACAGGAAGTCCTTCAGAGCAGCAACTCAATCAGTGCGTTCCTCGCCTTACTGAAATGAACGATAAAATTCACAAAATGTTAGCATTAACAATAGATCACGATATAACAATAACTCGTAAATTTTGACATCTCTGAATAAACATAACAATTATAATAATGCTAAAGCAATATCATCAACATATATCTAGTATAAAATGATAAATCCAAGCTCAACATTTCCAGGGCCATCCCTTTTATAGAAAAGATGACCGTGAAATATTGGGCTTAGATTTACCAAATCTTACAGTATTAAATCTACAATGACGAGGGACAACAGGACAACAGGCTAATCCCGTTGTAACTTGCTGGACTAGAGCAACGAGTTCTTCGATTTATAATTATACATTAATTTACATACGTTCTTTATTATGTAACATGCAGTCACAGTTTGCAGTGTGGCGCTCGAACGACTAATTGACGATTACACTCTTTGAATATAGAATTGAAGCTCATTCTGCTGCTTTCTGGAATCGGTGATATTCTTTGGCGGGAAAAATGTTTATTAAAAGTACAGAAAATCTACATAGATTGAGACAACATTTTAGAAATTCTTAGTTTTTTTGTAAATATTTATATAAGACGTAGACTCGTTTTATTTTCTGATACAATAAGATACCGTAAAAATTCGTAATACAGTGACAGAAGATGTATACAAAAAGGGCGGAGCATTTCTTGGTTTTTTTAAACAAATAACGTCATTCTGAATTCTTCTACCATTATTTAAACACTAAGAATTTCTAAGATCTTGTCTTAATCAATGTAATTTTTTGTAAACATATTTCTGCCATACTACTCTTTGTACAAATTAATGTAAGTAGAATTAGTTGATCATTATTTTCAATTTCAGTAAATTTAAATCGTTCTTGGAAGAAATTAAATACTTCTAAAATGTGATCTAACTTATCAGTTGGACCAATCAACAAAATGTCATTCACATATACCTATTTGAAATAAAACGACAGTTTGAAAGATAATTTTTCAATGACCATCTTCACATTCTGCATCGCCAAATTTACTAAGATAGGAGATGGAGAATTCGTAAGTACATTATGTATCACTGAGGATGACCATATTAAAGGTCGAAACGTTTGAAAATTTAATTATTTATTTATTTCTTGTATTATAATTTGCATATAATATTTATGTATATAGCGCGGCTTGAATAGCTCTAATATTTTAATATTGAATTTAAATTCTTCAGAATCTTACAATTTGTTACTTTAATTATTTATATGTGAATTATATAAATATACTTTTTAATTATATAAATTATGCGCCGCGTACCATTGGATTTGAAGTATGTAAGTAGAAGCTGAAGTCGAAATAATGATAATTGTTTTAATTTTGGTAGTATTATTTTAGCTGAAAGATATGCGTTTAGAATTAAAAATGCATTTAAAATTTATATATAAAATTTATATATAAAAATACTGTTGTTACGTGAGCGCAACACTATTATTATATATTATATTATGACCTAGCCTTGGCATTACAAAAAAATAATTAAATTCATTAATTATTAGTAATAAATTCATTAATTATTAGTAATAACTGCTTTTTTTGACTTAGCTAAGAAGGAAGATGAAACATTCCACAAAGAATTGACATGAATATGTGGGTTAAATAAATAAGGCTGTGGATAATACGAGCAGCCTTACGTTCAAATAGAGTATAAAGTGGTAGTTTGGAGTACGTTGAGTGGATAATGTTCATCTTCCTGTGACACGCTCAACGTTACGAAACAGTCATACATAGTCACCTACTCGCGTTATTACAAAAGTTTGTTCAAAATTTCCTAAATTTTATTTTGAATCCTTTATTTTCTGAGATGTATGCATTTATGTAAATTAAAATAATGTTGTCTCTCTTTTTCTTATGTTTTCTGAACACTATTAGATTTTGGCAACTGTTTTGACACAAATAAGAACAGTAACAAAAGTTATATAGTAGCCAAACTAAGAATTTTATTTTCAATCTATTTTAAGTTCAATAGAAAATATGCTCGTTCTTATTTTACAAATACACACATGAAAAATTCCGATGTGTGGAGTACTCCATACACTCCCCGCAAAAGTTGGCGCCCACATACATATATGGTTTCTAAAACACTCCATTATATGAACAAAAAATATTTATATCTCGGGAAGGAAGTGTTTCTGGAGCTATGTTATTTTATTTAAAAAAAAATAGAATACGGTATCGATGAGATCATTTTAGTATCATCCAGAATTTACGTATCTTTGATACTATAAATTATAATAAATGTATTTTTCTAATTCAATTATTTTTATAATTTAATATTTTCTACAATTACAAAAGAATTGTAATCGATCTTAAATTAAAAAATTCGAAAATATAATGGTACGAATAGAATAAGCACATTTATCAAAAAATTAATAAATAGATAATCCTTGAAAACATATAAATACGACTGTTCCTAATTTTGTTTCAAAATGTTACGTTGTTGCTTGCTATGTGAGAGCAAGATAACACATCTATACATAAGAATGTATGTGCGAATTGATATTAAATAGATCTTTCATGATGGTTAATAATAATGTATTTAGCGTTTTAGCGATTCTATATCACACCTACATGACATACTTTCAACATTTATGATCTGTAGTATTAATATTTTGCTTCACAATGTTTTATCATGTCAATCTATTTAAATATTTATAATAAAAGGTAAAATGTATAAATAATTTACACTTTTAATAACAACTATATAAATTTTGAAAATATTTTTATATAAATATAATCATTTATTTCAAACTTAGACGATTTTATTAATTCATCGATCATTAATTGATTAATCGCATTGCATTATAATGCAAGTTTGCAATTTGCGCATGTGATTGACCAATCGATGGATTAAAAGACTCGTTTGTATTATAATGCATAGTAGAAGAATACAGGTGAAACAACGCGCATAAATTCAGAGCAATTAGCCAATCAAATTCTATCTCAATAGTCGACAGTTCTGGGTAGCACCCGACAAGTTCTGACGAAAGTTCTTAATGCTCAACGCGCTAGGACTAACGGTTTTAGAGATATCGCGATTTTTTGTATTTAAAAATAAAACAATTTTTTTTTTTAACATTACGGCAGTTCTGTTGAGAGTTCTGGATAGCACCCCAAGAGTTCTACTAAAAGTTATTAGCATTTAAAGGGCTATAAGATATCACAATTTTTCGTTGTGCGTTTTGTGAAGTTAGCACCCCAAATTTTAAATTTTCGATTTTTAGTGTTAATTCGCCAGAACTATTTTTTATTTTAGGCAGGAACTTCAGAACTCTTCGGGGTGCATTCAGAACTCTGACGAAAATTTCATTTTTTTAAAAATGAGGTGCCAACTTCACAGAGGTCAAATGATATGGATTAACCAATAAGAACAATACAGAATCTAGTTAATTAAACAGAATCCCGTTTTTGTTCCGTTCTACTATATGATGACATGTGATCACATCTTAAAACCTATTTTACAATGAGGTGTCAAGTCATAAGAAATTAACTAATTATAGTCACTTATTTTTTTTTTTATATTCAACTGTGATTGGCCAATTTCTTACGACTTACGATCTTATATTAAAATAGGCTTTATGCATACAGATATTAAAGATCAAATCGATCAAGCAAGCCTGATCGACTTATTATGTAGCTAACTTCCTATCGACAATTTTTAATTAATTGACAACATATTGGTTATTTTGCAAAGTCTGAAAAGATTTAATTTTGTAATAATTTTACATTTATTTCAGATTTATCCAAACGCAATGAAATATTTGGTAAGAAATATTTTATAATAATTAAGTAATGCATTTGAAATATATTAATCTACTGAAATGACTGCAATATTATAAATTAATCATACAATACGAATCAATAATAGAATTTTTATTGTCTTTTAATACAGTATTTGAAGTAATAATTTATGTTTTCTTTGGACATATATACAAATCTTATTATAATGAATAAACAATTGTTTATTACGAAACATTAATATAAATATATTTATATACTGTGAACTCTGTTTTTACAGCCGTTACACTATTTTAGTGTTATATAATTTGTATAAAGACAAACATATTATAATGCAAATAAGAGACGTTTTGCGAATATTATTGGTTCTATGTGTTTTTCAAAGAGGTGAGTTTTAACTGAAGAATGCTGTCTATTTAAAATAAAAAATGTAGTTAGCAGCTTGTACAAAAATGAAGAACTTAACCTAATACTTTTTAATTTATTAGGATAGAAATTTATACTTTAATCAATTAATCAATAATTAAATAAAAATTCATAACACGAAAAGTTTTGTATATCAAAATAAATATTAAAGGCATTTTTCATTAATATAGCTTCTTTTTGTTTTTGAACTACTATTTTACACCCGTATATCTACATTAATACTAAGAGAAGAATGCACTGCAATCAAATGTTATCAATGTAGTAGTAAAAAGGATGAAGATTGTTCCATTAACAAGGTACATTACAAATATTTAAAATCGTGTCCATCGGGTCATTCTTATTGTCGTAAAGCTGTTTACGTGTGTAAGTAAATTAAATTATAATTACTTGAATAAATTTATAACATATATTAATTATCTTATTATTAATAATAAAATGACAATTTTTTTGAGAGAGTTGAGTAATATTCAGATTTTATAATTTTAGATTATTTTATGGGTTCATATGATAGTGTAACAATGCGTGAATGCGCAAAATTACGAAATAGCCAAAAGGAATGTTATCAAGGACGCTATACTCGAGACAGTTATCAACTTATTTGTGAATGTATGGGTTACGGTTGCAATTCCTCTCAACAATGTTTACCCAATCTTGTGCTCTACTTTCTGTGTATAGTTTTAATGATTGTTATTTTATTACCAGACGTAATTATTTAAATTTATTAATCGAAGAAGGTCCAATATAATTTTCTCAAAAAATTTCCTTCTATATAAACAACCGTTTAACAATAACAAATCCAGATACAATTAAGTTGTATTTTTCTTGTACATAAGTCCCACATGTGCATGAGTCTTATATGGATTTATACACATATATACATATACATATATATATATATACTATATAGTAATCAAATCATATTTATTTGTTGTATAATCAGTTTTAATATTACTTGTAATTTTACTATAGATAATAAAACATTAATGTAAAATATATAATATATACATTCAGTATTATTAAATTCAAATATAAAAAAATAAAAATTGGTATTATTAATTTAAACAACACAAAATCTAAAATTGTGACGTAAGACGTCCTTATATATAAGTCATCTTTTAGATACAAAAACCTCCTTATTTTAGACCCGATTTTAGACACTTTTGTTGCCTGAATAAATACAAATTGTAAATAAAGTTGATTTAAAAAAGTAGTTAAAAAAGACATTTACACGCTCATAATTTATATATTATTGTAAATAATCATCCACACTGCGAATAACACAATAAGGAATAATTTTGATAAGAGTATTTCAATAAAAATCTGTCAAATTAATTGGATTTTGTTAACTGACAATGTTATGCTTTTCCAGCGCAAAGGATAATAAATTTTGAATTTTAATCACATTAGGTCTGTTCCCGTTGCTTATTCTTTTTGCATTTAGCATCTTCGCTTTCTCTCTTTTCAATGCCCGAATATATACATATATCTATCTCATTTTAAGTTAAAAAATTTTTCAAGCGACGCAAACAGACCTATTATCTCGATATCATTAAATAATTGATATTTTAATTTCTAGCAAAAGGTAATGTGAATGTATGAGTGCGTATAAATATGTTCATAGATGTATGTATATATGTGCATGGTGTCACAAATACCTTAACATTTTTTATGCCTTCTCATCCTTTTTCATACCTTCTTCTCATTTTTTCTCTGACTGTACTCGTACATCGATGCGTACGTAACAATAATATTTCTTACCATGTGTACTACAACTTCGTGTATTAAGGTATATCTATGACGCCATGTGATATCCATACTACGCAACAGCTTTTATGAATCACGATATAGACACAAGAATATCGATTATATGTATAACGGCGAAAATAAATAAGATAGTAGAAAATGGCATATTAACTCAGAGTATAAAAAAGGTTGAAAAGAAAAAAATAAGAACATGTGTGTCGAGATATTTTTTTCTACTTGAATTTTTTTCGTAGTTAAACTCAAAATTGTAGATTAAATAGACGACATCACTGGCGTCATGTTGACGCCGACAACGACTTGGGTAGGCGCCACGACGCCGGGCGTCTCCCGCTTTGGTGCTTTCCCCTAACAGTTTTATGTCATGTATCTTATTGAATGTATGTTATCGGTTATAGCAATTTTTTTAAATTGTATAAATTTATAATAGATTATATATAAATTTAGTATATTTTAAAGTTTTAGACCAAATTACTTCAACTAATTTTATTGATAAATATTAATATATAGTTAAAAAAAAACAATATCAAGGAAAAAGAGGGTTTGTTTGAAATCGACAATATTTTAATCGACACCATTGACAGGTATAATTGATTTCGCCGATAATATTAATTGACCAACAAGAGCTATGATAATGCTTTTGAGGTTTTCACGGGTATTATCTTCAAAGATACCAGAAGGTCTATGCGGATAGCCGTGTCTTTATTCATTGTTAATGCCAACATTTCGTGAACATTGCCGTTTACTTCATCAAGACGAGGAGTGTTGATACTAGTATACTGATACTAGTATAGCTATTTTTGAAAATGATTCATCATCATAACGCATTTTTCATTGAAAAAAATAATTGATTACCCATTACGTACATTCGTGTCCATTTTTAACAGTTCTTATTTCTCATATACTTTTTTATAACTTTTCCATCCAATGTCTACATAGCAAAATAATTTAGACCTTAAAGAACATGTGCAAATTTTTATAAAACTTAGGCATAAATGACCCATGTGTGTCGCTTCAATAAAATGCTGAAAATAAATGCAATGTCGTTGCAACGTTAATATCGTGATTGATTAAATTTTGTCTATGATAGCAAAAAACAAAAATAAATACCTTTAGTTTAATATCTTATTTCTTAGTTCCTAGCATGATAAAGCAAACTTTTTAAATACAGTTTTAGCAAGTTTTACTAAAAAATCTTACAATATTATATATTGCGCAGAAAAAAATATCCATGCCCTTGAGAAAGGAAAGCAAGAGGAATTCAGAGCGGGTGGAATCTGCGCATCGTACGGAAAAGCTGCGTGAACAATAGAGGGTGAAATGTCGGGAAAGATCTGGGGTAGGAGTGGGCGTCAAGCAACGCAGTGTGAAGAACTCATGTACTCACCATCAGTCCGTCTACACGACAACATCTCCGTCAAACAGCACTACTCTCTAAATATATAATTTATATTTTTGTGGAAGGACTAAAGTTGTTCGATCAAGAAAGCAAAATGCCTCGAGTAATTACGATATTACTCATCACTTCAATCTTCATCATAACAGTTTATTCAGGTAATATTTTATTTTATTTATATAATAATACAGGAAAATTATTACTGGCGTAAATCTCCTGAAGAAACATCTATTTTTTTTGGAAATGATTGCACTATAATTATTGCACTTTTCATATGTACGGTTCTATTATGAAATTTAATATTTAATATTAAATCTCATAATATTTATTGCACTTTATTAATACTGACTGCGCGTTTCATGACTGTGTTTGGATTCTCATTCGGACAATCCTCGATAACTATAAAAACATAAGGTGCGTTCCATTTCGTGCATGATGCGCATAATGTAATGTTTTTCCTAAATTATTCTTATTTATATTTTTCAATTTTCATTTTTTTATAATATTGTGCGGTTTTAAATATTAAATAAATGCATCGTAATCCGGTACTCTTGTGTGTAAGACAGATTATAAGCTAACTTTATCTTCATGGTTCTGCGTTAAATAGCCCATACAAAGTTAAGAGTATTTGTAGGAAAATCCTTAAAAAAAAAACTATCGTGTATTACATGTTTACGTCTTATGCGTCTTAAAAGGCATCTTTAGATCATCTCTTGTAGAAAAGTACTACTGAACACTAGGAGTATTTTGAGGCACTACTATACTACAGCATTATTCAGCACTACTGTACCACTACACTAGCGCAGTAGTGCTGTAGTGTAATAGTACAGTAGTGCTGAGTAATGCTGTAGTACAATAGTGCCTCAAAATACTCCTAGTGCTCAGTAGTATTTTTCTACAAGGGATGCTTCAGACGATATATGGCGAACGTTCGCTATTATTAGTAAATACACGTATGTACATACATGATATACGTAATTATCTGTATTTAATAATAGGCCAATATTTAGCAAATATATGTATGTACAAAAAGTTGGCGTACACATTGGCCAATGGCACCATATCGTCTGGAAGCGTCTTACGTATAATGGATTTTTAAATGATTGTTTGGATATATAAAGTCGTAAATGCATAAAATTAAATATTATAAGTAATATTTTTATTACTTATAATAGATATTTAATAGGTATTAGATATTTGTATAGGGGTAATATATTAATACGTTATTTTAACACTGATATCACTGATATATTACTTATTGAAAAATTATTTGATAAATTTTATTATTTGTGACTAATATAATTTATGAATTTACAAATTTTCATATAAAATGCTAACCACCCGACAAAAATTAAAATTAATGATGCAATTATATAAATATAATCCTGTTTCTAATCTTAAGGATTTTATTGTTAAAAGTAAAATTATATATTTCTTTTAGTTTAGAAATTATAATTAAACAATAATAAAAGGGGCAATTAAGAGTCAAATTCGAAAAAATAAATAATAAACCAGTTATGATCATAAACATGTAATTAGGCTTTAACAAATACGTGAATACTTAAAACTACATAATCTACTTAAAATTATTAAAAGTTACTAATTTTGTAGTTCCAATAAAATGGGCAAGTATATCAAAGTACAAAAAGATGCTCGTGCTCATACATTTAAAAATAATGTAGTATATAAAATTTAATGACTCTCTGTGACACTTCTTATGTTGGACAGACGGGAATAAGACAGTTGAAAACCAGAATTAATGAACAGTATCGATGAACATTATCGATCAGCCCATCGATTATAACCGAGCATAGATTACAGAATGATCACGATTTTCAATGGGATAATACATATAAAAATTTTAGAACCGAATTATAGAAAGCGCTTAGTTTTGAAGATATTAAATATTAAAAAGCAAAAACATAGTTTAAATTTACAAACTGACACTGAAGATCTGCATAAGGCTTATATTTCTATTGTAAATAAAGTTCGATCTGTCAATACCGATAATTTATCATCTCGTTCAGTCTGATATGATCTGTCACAATACTAAGATATTTTCTTTTATATATGTATAATAAAAACACACAATGTTCTTTGTTAAATATTACAACGAGCTTCTGTTTAATATATATTTTATTTTAATTTATAACTACGTTGTGACACATTTTAACATTTTAACTGCAAATTCTGTGTCGAAACCGATGAACCGATTTTTTATTTTTTTAATTTGTGTATGATCTCGTTGGTGAGTTGAGCATTTTATTTAAAATTTGACAAGGTTTTTTTCACTAGATTCTTATCAATTTTTACTTCAACATTATAGAGATATTTATAGTTTGCATACGATTTTTCAACCATATACCAACCATGCAATGTCATGTTCTACATGGAGAATTGAGGAATCAATATCAAAATGTTTATTTTTATCGTTTTGTTTCGTTTTTTTTTTCGTTTTCGTTTTTTTATCGTTTCGTTTTTTATTGTTTAATTATTTTTATATGAAAAGTCCTTTATCTTTCAATTTTATTTGTTTAGAAATTATAATTAAGAAAAAATACACTTTTACTCTCTCTTAAAGTAATTTTTTCTATATAGAAGATGTACTAAAATGCTACATGTGCACCTCATTATCAAACGAAGGTTGTGGTTCCGATATGACAATGAATTCATTACAACCAGTGGAATGTACTGGTAATAAGATAGTGGAATGGCAACGAAGCATCCAACAGCACAAAATCCTCAGCCCAGTTGCACGGCTTTTCGAAGTTGATGACATGTTACAACAACATTATCAAGGTTCTCCAAAAGATACAGCTTGCGCTAAAATGGTCATGAATAGTAAGTAATTACAAATGTTTGCATAATGTACAAAAGTTACATAATATATATAATCTCGATATAAAATATACCTGTTTAGAATTAAGACAAGTATATATATAATGTACATCTTTTTAGTCGCAAAACGAGATATTATTATAAGAACGTGCCAAACAGCTAAAACCGAACTTATTGATCCATGTAAAACAATGGCAGACAAACTAAGCGGCAATTTGATAGGCAAAATGGAGCAATGCGCACTTTGTCATAAAGACGCCTGTAATGGTACGACGTCCATATCTTCCAAAATATTGTATACTTTTCTGTCATTCATTAGCACTATCATTGCTTTTTACCATTAGGTATAATTTGCATTATTTTATACGCTATAAAAAGACTTACTATATAATGAGTAATATATATAATCAATAATCATTCAGCATCATATATATTTTATTTGTAATTCTAGCTTAACTGTAGAAGTTAAACTAGTATATATATTTCATGTATAGCTATTATAGCTATAAAGATGTAGAGATTCTTTAACCAGAGACTAAACCATAAGAATTTATTTATGTTTAGAAGAAATTGACAAAATTCTTGTGTCAAATCTCTAATTATATATAAAGGGTCTCTGTAAAGATAATAACTTTAATAATATATAATAAAATAACTTATATAGCAGTGCGGCATTTGTTGCCTATTAATAATTTTTTCGTCGACCATATTCTTTCACTAAAAGATATCTTTATAACAATTTATCATCTTTTATAGTCATTCTTTAATTCTGTCCTCTCTGCATGGGTACGTTAAAAACTTGCTTATTATTTTACAATTTAATAATTTAAAAACTATTTTAAGTTATTTATTTATAAAGTTAGGGTATTTGTAGTGTTACTAAATAGTTACTAAATAATTTTTTATACTTTATTAATATAAAATAATATAAGCACATTAAATGTTTTATAACATCGGAATTCGATCAGTTTAAAAAGGTAAAAGTAAGTTATATTTTTAATAAAAAAATTTAATAATATCAAATGTCATACTTATTTCGCTAAATAATATATTTTCATAAATTTCTAGATTTACAGTGCTAAGATTAAGAATTTTTAATAAAAGAAATTGTGTTCAAGTATTTAAAAAATACGTTATTCAGTCCATGTATAATGTATGTTAAAAATAAAAAAAACTTTCAAACAGTTTTTATGACGTATTTTTTTTATTTCCTTAATTACAAATTATTAAAGTTTTAATTTCAGCGGGAGCTGATCAAACTGACGGACCAATCAAAAATTTGATATCTCGTCGCCACTATGCGTGAAGTGCGTGACTGCCCGACTCTGATATAGGGAATAATACACTCTGATATAGGGAATAATACACACATTGCACTCTGCAACTCAGTGCATGCGCCAGTGTTGCCATGGTGTTGTCACAGTATATAAGTATTGTTTTCCTCAATGAAAAATGATATAAAACTGAATTTACGTAGTTCACAACTTCACATCGTTCACATTACCCATTTCCTAGAGCGAAGCTATTTTTTTCTGTCAAATTCGATCATCTATACAAAAATACGTCAAATGTCTAATTTTACCAATATCTTGGAGGTGAAGTAGTTTAACTCAGTAATTATCAATAATACTAATTATTTTTTTAAATCTTGCATTTATGCATAGAAATATGCAATCTGAATTTATTAATATCCATTAAAAATAATAAATATAAAGAATAATATAATTTTTATTGATTTTTTTAAATTTGTTTTAAAGATTGTATTTAAATAATTTTTATTAATATTGCATACTTATATAGGTTACCCTCAAAATGAATGAATTAATGTAAATAGTATATACAACATACATAATAACTTTATGTTTATGTATTCTTACATTGTAAGTGGTATGGATGCAGATATATTAAGAACGATATTAAAAAGTTACACTGATGCTGACAATTTTGTTCAATCTGAGGATTACAAGAATATGTCAAAGAAAACTTTGCTTTGCATACAGTCTGATGCAGCATTGAATACTTTGTGTGCATCATTGAGCAACCTTTTGTGTTATAAAATATCCAAAGAAGCGTATCAACGATATTCAGTTCGATTGTTAATAGTTGTATGTTGATTATTTACTAAAATATAAATTAATGTTTTAATTTTTAAGCTTTTATGTAATTGATATTTTAGTATGATATAATTGTTACAGGATGTTTTACGGAATTGGTGCAGAATGACAGACAATTTTAAACATTTGAAGATATTTACATCTAAGGAAAATAGTTTCAAATTCACAAGTATTCTTTTAGAGAAGTATCTTACAGATGATGTTTTAAATATGTGCTATTCAGAGGATACTTTGATATGTTTAACTATTTCTGTGATACACCTGTCAGTTAAGAATACAATTTTTATGCGTCATGTGGATCGGTTACTTCTAAGACTTTCACAACTTGAAGCAAATTATAAAATTGAAAATATATTATATAATGCTTTATGCTCAAATTTACATCTTAAACTAACCACGAAAGAAGAAATATATGCTTTACAAAAGTTTAAATTAATAGAAGAACCTTTGCTTAATAGTTTTGTATGCATGTTTTCTAATATGAAGAAAGAAGTGAATAACCAAAATAATGAAGAACTGCTAAATAAATTATTAGAACTTAGTGCCAGGTCTGCATATGTTTTTCAATTAATGTTCAATTTTTTAAAAGAATTATTAGTTCAGCTGCAATATGCATCTGCAGTCCTAGATTTCATAAATTTGATGTTAAAGCGGATATCTATTTATTGTACAAATCACGATAAAGATATATTGGATCTCTATCCCAGAAAATTGCGTTCTTGTATAATTTTATTAAGAATAAAGCCTGAGTATCATACAGTGCAGACACAAAAATATACATTACAGACTATGAAAGAACTTTACAATGAAAATAAAAACGTTCCATTAATTTTAATATCTCATTTTCTTGAGTGGCTTGAATGTTTTGCAACTTATGTCGCTAATAATATAAAACATTGATTTTAAAAAATAATATAGTGATAATTATTTTAATATAATTCTGTATAATATTAATGTTATTTTAGGATTAATTGCAAAAATATTTATATATATATAATATCTTTATATTTTTATGTATTTTTTAAAGACATTTTACAGAAGAATAACAGAACTATATATTAAAGATAGATATTTACTGTATTATATCACAAAATAAATACCAAAATGCTTTCACTGAAAAGAAAATCGAATAATAAACTATATTATGTTTTGTGCCTTTAATAAATTCTGAAAATAATCATTCATATTTCCCAAATTTTATATTCCTTTTGAATGAAATGTTGAATTGGAAACACATTGATAGATTATATAATGTTCAAAAAGTATCTCAAAGGAAGAATGTTTTAATGTACAAAATAATTTTTTTTATATTTCTAATGCAAAGAAAGTGAATTTTCTTTGGCAAATACATCTTTTCGTCAAAGATTCTCGCAATATTACTAACAATTTTTTGAATTGCAAAAGTAAAATTGTTCTCACGCCCCACAATCTTCATGTTACAAATATTCCAAGCGAACATACTGTCCACTTGTTCGCTGTCTACTCCTCTGTCTACATGGGTTTCGAATAAGGGGTGCATAGTTGAAACTCATGTGCGACAGTATGTATCATGATATTATCATGGTATGTATACTAAAATTATAGAAATATTAATTTTTAAATTTCGTGCAATCTGTTGATCGAAGAGTAACCAAGCGCATGCGCATGTAATCAGAGAGCATTGGAGAGCATGAAGAAGGCATACTTATAGCACTAAATGTAGTCGGTATGACAGATTTCCTAACCTGAATAGTCGTCAACTTTAACGCTTAATATCTCGGTTCATAGGCCAGAACGACACTTTTTTTCTGCCAGATTCTTTCGTTTCGTGCAAAAACGCGTCGAATAAGTCTAATTTCATTAAAATCGGTGAGATCTTCAAAATCGGAGCTTATCTTCATAATTACCCTAAGTTTAATAAGGCTATGAAAGTCCGTTTTTTGCCTATTGTATAAAACAACTAATATTAGGCCTTCTCTCTTTGGAAATTCATTAACAACGCTCAAGCATAGTCCGTTATATTTATTGTATGAAATACACAATATAAAAATACTTATTTTTTGACAAATTTATTATATTATTTCTATACAGGTAACAATAATAATTCTACAGAAATCAAGTCAATGGAAGATACTGATAAATTATCAGAGATAATCCAAGAAGAACCAGGTATTTTTCTAAATCTTTATATTATTCAATTTTTAATTTTTTTAAAAACTAATTTATTTTTACAGCATTTAAATGGCCACATGAAGCTATTCTTATATTAATGGAAGAGTACCGATTGCGACAGAAAGATTTCATAAGTGGAAAGATGTCTCAAAAGAAAATTTGGCTATTAATTGCTGCAAAAATGTTAAAACATGGTTACAAAGTTAGTGGATTACAATGTGTATCTAAATTTTCTGGTTTAAAAAGAACATACAAAGCAGTTAAAAGTCATAATAAGAAGTATGGCGATGGATCAAGAACATGGACATATTTTCCTGTAAGTTATTTTAAAATCAAAATGATACATATTGTAAGAACTGGGCCGAGAAAGAATGTCAGACGCTCGAACGTGATACTGGGACTCAAACCGAGGCCTTGTAGTAGTTTGTGTCAGCAAGCCACCGTCTTGCTACCAAGCCACACAGACCGTTGGGGAGATCTTAGTTTATTTCTTACAATATACAGTATTTTTACAAAAATGTAAAATTAAATGTAAATAAATGTAAGGTTAATGCTAATATTGAGCAAACACTGGATTCTGAGACAAGAGAACCTACACTAATTAATATATTAAATTAGCTAACTTATTGTTTGAAAATGATTTATAAATTAATAAATTATTTAATCTATTGTCAAATGTGTATAAAATAATGTTACATAAATATCAAGTTGATTGGAATGAAACATTTATTTTTTATACATATGACAATAGAAAGATTAAATAATTAAATAATTTATAAATCATTTTCAAACAATAAATCATCCAATTTAATATATCAATTGATGTTAGTGTTGTTCTTTTGTCTCAGAATTAAATATGTAAATCACAAATTTGCTTTTGCTTTTCTTTCTATTATTTCATAAGAAAATAATTTACGTTTGAATATATTTTTGTACAGCATTTCAAAAATTTGAGGTCATCTTAACCATAATGTACATTATGTTTCCATGAACATATTTGTAAATTTTATAACTTCTATTAACTTATACTAATGAGAACCTAAATGAAAGGTCAAAACGTTTATTTATATTATAAGATGAAAATAAGCAAGGACTCTCAATAAAAATAATCAACATAAAATAGAAAGGGCGATATAAGAGTCAAACAATAAATTATCATTTAAAAATAATACTCAACTGTCAGTACATTTAATAAAAATTGTAATGTCTTTTTTCTGTTGGAGACCCACGGTAGTAGAATGAAGTCCGTACTATGTAATTTCTGCGAATGATTTTGTCCACTGTTTTTTAACGTCTGAGGAGGGCTCAAACCTAGAGCCGAAACTTGTAGCGATATGTAATTTAATTTAAATTTTTTTATATTTATATATTTTTTATTTTATATTGTTATACTTAGTTTTATATTTATATAATTTCAAAAATTTTTATTAAATGTACTGACAGTTGAGTATTATTTTTAAATGATAATTTATTGTTTGACTCTTATATCGCCCTTTCTATTTTATGTTGATTATTTATATTATTGTATAATTTTTAAAGTTACTTATAAATCACACGAACAACCAGTGTTTGTTTATATTGACATTAACTTTACATTTATTTAGATTTAATCTCTTGAGCTTATGTTTTTACAGAATTGATATAAAATTAAATTGGATATTTTTTAAGCTTATGGATGATTTACTTGGCAAATCATCTATGTCATCTGTAACCACTGTATCATCAACAGGAAAAAGATCACAAATAGAATCTGTATGTAGTTCATCTGGTTCAGATAAAGAGGAAGACATAATACGACCTAATAGTAAGATAATATCTTTTATAAGTGGGATGAATAATCCAATTATTTAGGTTTAGTTATTTATTTATAATTTTTATATTTTACAATATATTATTAATTTAAGTAAAACAAATAATAAAACAGTTTTCTGTAATTTTAATCATAAATATTTTTAAACAAATTTCTATATAAAATTCTGTAAGTTTCAATAAATTAATAATTTCGAATTCTAAAATTATAATAATTAGGATGTTTAGTATGTAAAATGTATTAATATAATTTTATGCAATAATAATGTCTTTATTTTATTTAGAGAAAATACGTCAAATAGCTCCAGTAGAAAAGTTAATAGAAGATTTAAGGAATATGAGAAAAGTCACAGAGGAAGCTCAAGAAAGAAGACATAAAGAAAATATAGAGTTACGCCGGAGGCTTCTTAATTCTTTTGATAAAATGCTGAATATTTTAGAAAAGAAATAATTTTATTTATAATACAGTTTATAATAACCTAATTTATAGTATATGGCCCGTATTCAGAACGCACTTTTATCTCTGAAATTCTATAGTATACGTGACGTAAACGTGTAGCATGTTAGCGCGCTAACATCGTTGTTAGCGCGTTCTGAATACGGGCCTATATGTATTAGGTGTACAAATTAGTCGGTCCGTTTTTTTCAAAAATGCATTTATTTCAAAACAAAAGGAATGAACAGATTAATTAAAGTACTGTCCATCGCTGGTTACTACTTTTTCCCATCTCTCAGGCAATTTTTGAATTCTATTTCGAAAAAATGACTCATCTTTGGAGGCGGTCTTTTGGAAAACGAACCAAACTAATTTGTATTCCCAATAAAATGACAAGCATCTGCGTGTGCATGTATGCGTATGTGTGTGAGACAAAATATATAATTTTAATTATAAAACAATCTTTTCTTTTATTATTAAAAAATAAATGGTCTATACTTTTTCAGATATTTCTTATTATTAAATTATTACAAATTATATTTCGTTTTATATTGCCTGCATTGGTATTTCCTTTTTTAACTGTTATTTCAATATTAGTATTTTCTAAAAAATCTGATTCCACAATTGAGAATTTATCATTTTGCAACAGACAAATGTTATGTAAAACACAACATGTAATAATAAATTCTGGGATTAAATCGATACGCTCCATGTCTAAAATTGTAAGCAGACTCTGAAATCTTTTTTTAAGTAATGTAAATGTTTGTGTAATTGTATTTTGAGCAGATGAATGGCAAAAATTATAATTTTTCTGTCTGTCTGTTAGATATCCAACTTCTTGAAATGGTATCATTAAATGTTCATGAATTGTGTAAGCTGCATTGCCCACTAAATGACTGTCATAACTAAATTTTTCTGGATCATCTAAATAGTGATAAACTTCAGACAACTGAAATACTTTTTCGCTATTAACGGAACCGACGTGTCCCGCAAGACAATGAGTAAATCGTAGTTCATGATCACAAACAGCCTAGTGATATAATAAATAAAGAATTAATTATATAACTTTTTGAAAAAGCAAAAAACGATATAATAATTATTAATTATACCTGCAATTGTATACTAGGATATCCATTTTTATTAATATAAGAATCAGAATTGATATGTGGCGTCTTAATTTTAATATGTGTACCACCAATTGCTCCTATTATTCCAGGAAAAGCACTGGTTGCAGCAAATCCTCTAATAATTTCTTCTGCTCTATTATCCTGTGGCCATTTTATAAAACAAGAAGCTTGTTCAGTGATTGCTTTGATTACTCTTCTTAAAGCCATTAATGCTGTGGCTCTACCTACATTGAATTTCTGACAAATGGATCTAAAAAAATCAAAATATAAGTAAAAAAATACTGAATATGCACGCAAAAATAATAATTAATACTTAAAAACAAAAAGTTAATGTTATAAAAATATTATGAACCTATATGAATCTGAAATAGCTATTTTACACAGAGCAATTAAAAATTGCTTTTTAGGTGATATTCTCTTACGCCCACATGATGACCTCACTAACGAAGGTCTTATAATATTCAAAATATAATCAAATGTTGATCGTTCTATCCTAAAAAGAAAAAGATGAATTCTTTGTTACAATCACAAAAAATCTATTTTTTATATAAATATGCAGAGTCTATATAAATATACAGAGTCGATAGAAATTATTTCACCTTGAATATTTTGAAAGAAAAGCATTTGAAATTAAAAAAAATTGCCTTCTTAAAACTGAACAACTTTTATCTGAAACATTTATTTTAATAATACTTTCCTTCAGAGATATATATAGTCAAAGTGACAATTTTTATCGATACACGTTGTATAACATAATTTTTTTTTATTACTAAAAATAAAGTCAAAACTTGAATATATTTATATAAAAATATACATACCTGAATTGTGACTTAAAATGTTTATCACTATAACGTGATAGAATAACATCTGTATCATCATACAATCGAGGTTTCAGTCTCTTAATAGAGTTTTTACTCAGAAACAGTATACAATTTTCAATATCTTTAATATAAAGATTATAATCATCTTCTTCATCATCAAATAATTCCAGTAAAATTAATGCTTGGGTAAATAATATAGAAATTAATTCCTCTTTATTCACCATTTTGACGCAATTATAACCGATTAATAGTGGTTTTATACCGTGTTGCAACGCACATGATGGAAACGATCATCAAATGTGATGCTCCAAATGCCTCAATGCTTCTTTAGCCCGGATCCTCATACGGGCAACAGCGCTTTGACGCCAAACGCTGATTGGTGAAAAACCGGTTGCGAGGGTAAAATTTACCCCCATAACCCGTTTTTCACCAATCAGCGTCCGGTGTCAAAGCGCTGTTGTCCGTATGAGGATCCGGGCTTAAACTGATTTTTCATGTGCAGCACGCTGCGGCAGCAAAATGTCACGTGATACAAATTTTCGAGAACTGATTGGAAGTGCGTCACAGTGCGTCACTCCACAAAAGATTTTTAACCAATAATAACATTTCGCTGTTGCAGCGTACTGCGCATGAAAAGTCAACTTTACGCATACGCGCTACGATTTTGGCTTCACCATCATCAAAAGTGCCGACAAAGAGTTGCGCTACTATATACTGTGCTTCCACCGTGCTATCCACATATTGGGCGAGTTCAAGACGACAAAGCGGCTAGGTACGCTTGCCGAGCAATCGAGTATGATTGGTTGGATCTATAAGTAATAACCAATTATATTTAATCGCTCGGCAAGCATACTTAAGGTTGATTTTATACTGGCCGTAAACTGTTAACTTATGCCGTAATCTGTAAAAATTGACCAATCACAGTCGAATGAGAGGGGAATAATCGATTATAATTGGTCAATTTTTACAGATTACGGCATAAGGTAACAGTTTAAGGCCAGTATAAAGCGGGGAGCACAGACTTTTGCATAACGCATAAACCATATACATAAAGAATTTGATTGGTCCATTGACTCATGTATAAGAAAATGGACCAATGAAATTCCTTATGCACATGCTTTATGCGTTATGCAAAAGTCTGTGCTCCCCGCTTAAATCAATCTTTAGCCGCTTTGCCGTCTTGAACTTGCCCATTGGTTGCTCCGGGCCACTGACTGACACCCTGAACACTTGACCGTCTGACTGATGGTGCATTGATCGAAGGCTGTAATCAGGTTGGAAATCGCATCACTGCCTGAAATTGTTCACTTTTAGCGTCCGCTGTGGTCCGCTAGCGTCATGGATGACAATGACGAGGAAACTAAAACCATCGGTAATTATATCCAAATTCAGTTTTCATGGTTCTCTGTGAGGTTAAAATTTTACAGAGCATATTTTGTTCATTCAGATTACCATCGATTATCAAGAGAAATTCAGTTTATTATTCGCTACCTTTTGTAAAGAATTGTTGCCTTTCTTCTCATATAGTTAATGTATATGTCTCCTGTTTCTTTCTTTGATAGTGAAATTACCCACAATGTGCTTTTTGTTTCTCGTTTCTTCTTGCTATTTTTTACATCTTGCCCTGTTTCTTATACCGTTTTTTATATTCTATTGCTCGAGATAAAAGTTAACAAACTTTGGAAGAAACAGGAAATAACATAACAAGAGATACAATTGTTGATAAAACAATTACAAGAAAAAAAAAAGTAAAAGGTGAAAAGCAAGAAACAGGAAACGAAGAACACATTGTAGAATAATTATGAAGCAATTAGAGAAAGAAACATTCTATTTTTGAGCTAAGATTTTGATTAATATAGACCTAGTTTATATCTTGCACAAGTACTAATTAGTAACTTTTTATTGAATTGTCTTTTTTGGCGATATGTATAAACATGTATGTAATTTATCATTTTGATACTTATCATATTAATTTAATACATCATTATATAAATACTTTGCTAAAATTGAGATATTTTAATACAAAGTTACTAGTTAATATTTATATTAAATGCTCAGTGTAAAAGGAATAGCAGTATCATTTAATAAGTAATTAATTAATTATTAGGATAAATTATATATGATTAAAGAATGTTCATATCTCCTTTTATTAGATATTGATCCAACATGGATATATGATGCAAAATATTTAGGCATTGAGAAGAAAGAACCAAAGAAAAAAAAACTTGTTTCCAGCAAAGATTTTGATCTTGAAAAATTTGAAACCGATATAGGTTGGAAATCTAGGAAAGTGACCTTTGAACTAACAGAAGAATTAGCAGATTTAAGAAAAGATATCAATCCGTTAGACAAGATTTTAGAGAAGTCTGTTATTAAATCTGATTTTGAAAAGTTGCATGTTGTACCACCCTACGAGTTAAGCAAACGTCAATTGAAACTGCATAAACGACGTGAGAAAAGTAAAATGGGAACAGGTGCAGAATGGTTTAACATGCGTGCACCTGAAATAACACCTGAGATTAGATACGATCTTGAAGTACTAAGAATGAGATCTGCACTAAACCCAAGACACTTTTACAAAAAGAATGATATGAAAGCATTACCGACAAACTTCCATGTCGGCAAAGTTATTGATTCTCCAATGGATTACTACTCTTCCCGTCTTACAAAGAAGGAGCGCAAGAAAACAATCGTTGATGAACTTATGGCAGACGCTGAGTTTACAAAATACAACAAGCGTAAATACAAGGAAATTATCGAAGAAAAGCAAAAGACACACTATAAAGCATACAAGCACGCAAGAAGACTTAAAAGAAAGAAGAAGAAATAATATATTTAGTATACAGATTTTACTTTATGTATTTGAAAAATAAAGAATACCAATTGTATATTTCCTGTATTAATGATGAAGAAAGGAAGTACCACTGCAGCTGTTGATAGTGTATAAAAATTTAATGTTTTAGAGTAAAATTTATTTTATGAAACTTGAAATTACAATCCTTATTTTCAATATTTTTCATTTCGGTTTTATTTTAGATCATCTTTAACGGATTAACAAATTAGATAAAATTATCAAAGCATCTAATGAACCATATGTTGATTTACACACCTTGAAGTTGATCTTTTTTTAAATAAACAGTATGTGAATGTTCAGGGTGAAACTTTCTCTAAGATGAAAAATGAAAAGTGAAAATTTTTACCGTTGTAGTTAATGGAGAAATTTTTTACTTTTCATTTTCCATCCTAGGGAAAAAGTTTCATGATCGATACCGTAATATAAAAATTGTCATTTTCTTATTTACGTGATTTATTTTGACGCTAAAAATGGCTGCATTCAACAGAGAATGCAGTTTTGTTGTAAAATTCTTGAATATGATTGGTATGGCCTCTACTGTGATTGGTCAATTTGCTTAAGTTGATTCTTCGTGTGCAGCACGCTACAGCAAAATGTTATTATTGGTTAAAAATCTTTTGTGAGGTGACGCACTTCCAATCAGTTCTCGAAAATTTGTATCACATGACGTTTTGCTGCCGCAGCGTGCTGCACATGAAAAATCAGCTTTACTGCTAAAGGATCATCTACAATAGGCACGTAATATACGTAACGTAACGTCCGTAACCGTAAGAGCCCCAACACACACTTTTGCATAACGCATAAAGCATGTGCATAAGGAATTTTATTGGCCCATTTTCTTATGCATGAGTCAATGGACCAATCAAATTCTTTATGTATATGGTTTATGCGTTATGCAAAAGTCTGTGCTCCCCGCTTAACCGTAAAAGTTGGAATATTTGAACTTTTGGTTACGGTTACGGAAAGAGATAAAGTTAGGTTGAAAGAGATTACGGAAAGAGGGTTAGATTAAATTGTATTGATTATAAGTGCAATAAGTAATAATAATATTGAACGAAATGGAATTTTCTGATAAAAATTTAATTCATTTGAAAATTGTCCTCATTTATATGCGATAAATCGTCAAGACTACAAAGACAGACAAAAGGCTCAAAATGCTTTCTTTCAAATGCTTTCTTTCTTTCTGCTTTTTTTTCTTTTTTCTTTGTAACAATTGTAATGCAATTGTAGCTAAATTAAGGATTATCAAGGCTGCCTTTCTGGATTGTTGATCGATCTCCATGATTTATGCAAAATATAAACTCCAACAAGTTTATTAAATAGAAGAGGTTAAAATACTTCGCAATTGTATTTTACAAGTACAGTTCCTTACGTTAGTTACGTTACCGCTACGGGCTGCCATTGTAGACGGGAGGAGGAGATTTCTTACGGTTACGGTTACGGACGTTACGTTACGTATATTACGTGCCTATTGTAGATGACCTTAAAGCCCATGGCACATAGAAAAACGTAAGGCCGTAAACGTAATCAGTAAGCGAATTGACCAATCACAGTTGAGAACGTAAACGGCCGCCGCTTTGTAAAACTCCTGAGCGATTGAATATGATTGGCTGCGTTCAGCAGAGAAAGCAACTTTGCAACTGTTGTAAAATTCTTTAATATGATTAGTCTTGCTCTTACTTCCTTATTCATCTAAATGTATAAGCCAATCATATTCAAGAATTTTACAACAGTTGCAAAACTGCTTTTTATACTGAACGCAGCCATTGGTTAGATCTAGAAGTAACAACCAATTATGTTTATTTGCTCGACGAGCAGGCTAGCCATTTTGTCAATTTGAACGCGCCCATTGCCACAGTATACTGCTGTGATCAGCTGTGACAGATTTGGAGAGAATTTTCCTAACCTGAACGTTTTATTTTGGTTCGCGGGGCAGTGATGCTTATTTCTACCAGATTCTTTTGTTTTATGTAAAAACGCGTTGAATAAACGTATTCCATTACCTTTTGAGGGGATAGTCTGAATAATTACCGTACATTTTTATGAAGATTTCTAGGAAGGGGATTATTTTAAATAAATATTAATTGCAATTATTATTAATTTTTGGACCAGTCCGTAGTTAAGTTTTGTAAAATTAACAACGCAGAAATGGATATACAAACAGTAAATACTCGAAGAAAAATACTAAGTCAAGTAGTTTCCAGTATTTTAGTAGAGTGTGGTTATGATACGTGTGAGAAACTAGTATTGGAAACACTCACTGAAATGTTGCAGTCATGTAAGGTTTAAATTTAGACTTACAAGCATTTAACTCAATATATTGTAAATTAAGACAAATTTTTTTTAATCTGTTGTTTCTTTATCTATCATAAATTTATTATTATACAATATTTACATTATAATGTACAATCTACTAATAACTTAAACTCTTAACTGTATTAATTCTTCATTCTTTAATGTTAATTTTTATGTTTACAAAAAATAATAACTAGCAAAAATAATGATTTTAACAAGATGAAATTTAATATCGTAAAAAGAATAAATGTTGTTTGAACACCATTGTTGAAAATCCACCTTGGATCTTTGGTGTCGTATGTAACATAGAACATGTTAAAAAAATATTAGAAAGAATTAATATAAGATCTAATTTAAAAAAATTCTTTGTATTTGTAATTAAATCTTATAAAGTATTTTTAAACATTTTTATTTAATATGAAATATTGACTAATTTTTTAAATAAATGAATACAGTTATTGTGGAGATTGGTGCTTCTGGAAGAAATTATTGTGAACTTTCTGGGAGAACAGAACCTCTTATAGCAGATGTGATATTGGCATTAATTAACATGGGTATAAAATTAGATAATATAGAAACTTATGCAAAACGACAAAACAGGACAGTTCTGCCAATGCTTCAACAGCAAACACAAGCAAAACAATTGAACATCTTGCAAGCTGGTGTTAAGCAAGGCCATCCATCGTATATACCAAGTTATTTTCCATCTTTTCCTGATCCACATGCGTATATTAGAACTCCGGTAAATATTTGTTAATAATAATTGTAATGTACTATATACATATACATATATGAACGCACACATACACACATTTTATATATTGTGATAAAAAATATTGCATATTGTATATGAAACTGATTCAATAATTGAAATATATTGTAGACACATAAGCAACCAGTAACAGAATATGAAGCAATCAGAGAAAAAGTAGCAACACAAAAACGAGATATTGAGAGAGCTTTAACAAGGTTTATTGCAAAAACAGGAGATACACATAGTTTATTTCTCACAGAAGACAATAGCATGTTTCCTTGTAAGAGAATTATCGTTTATATTGATTCATTCAGCATATCAATGAAGCAAAAATCTTACATATATCTGTCTTGCTTTTAGTAATATCTTGCAAACCACAATTTCCGAGTTATATCTCTGCTCTTTTACCTCAAGACCAAATATTCGAACCAGATTCAGATTTTCAGTTCGATTCAAATCCCGTGAAAAAGAAAAAAGAGCAACAAAATGAAGAAACAGAGGAAGGTAAGCGTTTTGCATAACGAAACATTTAATTGATACAATTTTTTTAATTAAGAACTTAATATAATTCTTTGCTTGCAGGTAACCAAACACAAAACGAAAATATGGAGCAAAATGGTGAAATTATTACTCAGCAAGATGTTATAGATAATCCATATTTAAGACCCGGAAAAATTCCTAAAACTAAAATACCAGGTACAACGATATCCGGACAGCACTCTGTTAAAAAAGAACTACTTGAATGTTAAATATCATGATGTAACATTAATTACTGTATATACGTAAAATCAGATTCAAAAGTTCACTGCCGGTGTTTTTACGAATTCTAACTGGAAACTCGAACACGTTTTATGCAGATCCATATATTATATATTATATTTAATCCTTTTTTATACATGGAATTATTAAGTTAAACGATAATTGATATTTTTATTCTGTAGTTACGTGAAAATATTTCGAAATACACGTATTACTGAAAATGTATAATATTCTATGTCGATTTTTAGAATTGATTCACATTATTATGTATTTTTTACGTACGTACATATTCACATATACAATGTGTACTAGGAAATAATTATAGTCATATTAAAACCATCATACTACAATATTAACCCTCAGTTATCACGCTTCAGTTACAGTCAAATTATTATCACATTAGTGCAAATTTGGCTTTACCATCTTTCATCGTAATTTTGAAACGAAAAAAGCAAAAGCAATCTAATTATATCATTCTCAGGAGTAAAATTTTCTTGAGAACTTATTGGTAATAATAAAATAAAGCAAAACCAATATTTTATTGCAAGAAATTGTTAATTAAAAATGTAATAAATTGAAAAGTAAACTTTTATAAAAAAAAAAAGTATTACTTTGGTCAAATATTAATTTTAAATATTTTTGATTATCTTAATTTGATGATATTTTTTTGTAAAAACAATTAAATTATAATATATGCATATATGAAAAAATTTTATTATATAGGTCATTAAGTATGAAATGTCTAATTTTTATATGTATTACTATTAATAGCAGTTGTAGCTGCTTTATTAAAAATGAACGAAATTTATACTTAAAAAAGTTTAAAATCTCTATTTTTAAAAGGCCGCTGTGTTTTATGTGTTTCTGTGAGTTCAGTAATTTTTATATGCAGAAAACTACAAGCAGGATAAAATGAAAATTTTGGTCTTTTTAACACAAAAGTTTAAAATTATCCCTACAAAATCATTTTTTTTAATTGTTCTTAAAATTTTTTGTTATTAAGTTATTACGAATTAAATAAAAGAAGCATCACTTTAATTACTAAATAGAAAAATAGAAAAAAAAATTAGAAATTGATTTTTTTTCGATTTTAGTGTGAAGTCCTCTGCAGCACCTCCAAATTGCGTCTACTTTAATCCTGTGAAAGGAATTTTTATTCCGTTTTGTCAATTCGGCAATTTTTATACTGCAATGTCAATAATTTGGTTACTCCAGCATCCCCTTAAAACGTTGTGCACATATTAAGGCTTCTGAGTAGTCGCCGCAGTCATATTTTTCAGTTATATTACTCGCCTAGTCATCTTATACATATTTTTTGTTATATATTACTCTCCTGACTGATTATTACTATCAGAATCATAACAAAGATTTTTATCAAAATTGCAAGAAAAAATATCAAAATTTGGAAAAAGCTCTATTGTAAATAATTACCGCCAGTTCGAAGATATTAGATATGTAATATGAGTTATTTGCTTCAGCTCAACATCCACCCTTCAAATTTTATAAATATAAATTAGTTATTTTTTAAATATATTTGTATCTTAACAGGGGTAATCAAAAATAATTTTTACAAGTTTTATAAACTTGGCAATCCTATACACGCATATATGTATAGTTTATAATTAATTTGTATAGTTATAAATATATATTTATTTAATATATATGTAGCGATTACATGATTATATTCACATTTATTTTGTAAAAACATTTTAGTCTCATCTGATAATATTGTATACAAAAAGTTAAGAATGTTATAAATACATGTGGTTTTTACAAATATGTTTAATTTTATCGAAAACATGTTCATTAAACTTATTTTTGAACAGGAAATATTGTAATAAAGTTAGAACAAGAAATTAACAGAGAAGTATATATGTGTTTTACAATTTTATACATATACAGGATGTTTCCTTTAACTCGAATATTTAAAATATCTGTTGTTTTCATGATACAATAAAATATTAAAATAAAAAATTTTTTATGTTGAAGTATAAAATATTTTCTAAATTATCAATTTTTTAGTAACTCTACCTAAACACTTTTATATGCAAAGTAATTAGAGGAATTATATTAAATAAAAAATTGTGTATATAATTCCATTTAAAAAAATAATAGCCTTAATATATCGACAAATATGATCTTAAAAAATTTATTGTTTATAATATTTGCTCTTTCAAAACAAACAACTTTTCCATTTTATGTTTTGTAATATTAATATATAATTAAAACATTTTAAATATTTGAATTAAAAGAAATACCATGTATACCTATGTGTTATTATACATACCTATATATAAAATTACTTTTCAATAAAAGTTATTAGAGGTATTAGACTTTTTAAATAAAATATGCTAAACTAAACACTTTCCATCTAATTAACTAAGAGATCAAAGATTAATTTTTAATTAATATATATAAATATATATATATGTATGTATATATTTGCGTTTATACTTATAATAATAAAAGTAAGAACTTTGTTACATGTTAAGTTGTATGTCATAAAAAGTAAGTTGAACGTTATAAAAATTATAAATAATAAAAAATAAACATTGATTCTCTTGCTGCTAATTCATTTATAGGCCTATGGTTTTTAGAATCTGCGTATGTGTGACTATACAAATGATTTCTTTTTAAAACATTTTCATTAAAAAATCTGAACTTATATAGATATATATTAAACGAGCAAAAATAAACTAACAGAACAAATAAATTAATTTCAAAATCTGTTAAACATAATATATAGCACATAATAGTACTTACAACATAAAGACATACATACACACTCATATACATATATATATATGTGTGTGTATATAAATAGGTACATCGCGGATGTAAACTAAGCAAAATCTTGCATGCTCTCTTCTTGAAAGATTTGATTTAATATTGATACCATGGCTGACGACGTACCCAGCGCAATTTCATACCGGAAGCTGTACGAATTTTTATGCTAGCACATTCTGCTGCACGTACTGTCTCTTTCACGCTTTGCATGAGATTCTGAGCATTTCCGACAAGCATGTCCGTTGCTTCCTGATCTTCTTCCGTACCTATGTTAACATCATCAAAACAACTATCAGATTAAATTGGAAAAATAATTTTCTTAATACATCCGTGTTTACATATATTTTTCTAATATAAATCATTAAAATTGTTGTTATATTGTTACATGATTATATCATTATATTTGTAATATAAAGTCCTAAACACAATGCGGGGCAACAGCGATAATGATAGAAATAGAGAAATCCAATAATTAGAAATGCATATGTGAATGTATGTACGTAGGAACACAGAATAAGACAATAGCGATAAATATTTGCGATGAGTTGGAGTTCTGTGTCTATATTGTCTTATAGCCTACTAAGCAGTGCTCAGATTCTATATTTTGTTTATATGCATTATAATATTGAAGTAGATTAAAAAGTATATGCTACAGTCAATATGCAATCAAATTGGTTGGCCTTTTTCTTTCGCGGCATTGTACAATGGGAGGTGAAAATTATATTATCATATCGCTGTTATTATCGCCGTTGTGTTGCATTGTGTCTAGGGCTTAAGAATGATAACATTTCATATCTAACGTATCAAATTACAATTATATCAAATGAAATAAATATGCAAAATATAAATATATCATTCTAAACTATATAACAATCGACAAATATTTTTTGTAAAGTGGAAAGGAATTTTCTTCACAAATGTAAAATCTTTTGTAAAGTGTATGTGTGTGTGTGCGCGCGCGCGTACATGCGTGCGTGCTTTACATGCAGGATATGTATGATGATCTCCCATATTATCCGATTTTTCCTACAACAACTATAAGCCCCCTCTTGTATATATATTTTTTTAGAACTAGTTTTGTTGATTATTGAAAAAAAAATTACGGATTTTTGGACTATCACTTCTGAATATTCATCGTACTTTTATATACAGAATAATTAGAGGGATATATATCATGTACCGTTAAGTATTGTTACAATCTTTATCAGATATTTATATATATACTCGATATTAGATAATGTGTTCCACTTTCTTGTATTCTCTCAAGGAAAAAGTAGAGGATGCATGCTGTGCTTTAAATGCTGTTTGTATCGCATAACAATCAATATCAAGTTTTTAAACAAAAAGAAAAAAACAATATCAAAAGAAAAAAAATAAAAATAACATCAAACAAGTTTACAACTTCTTTACCATAAAGCATCAGCTCTTCCCAGGTTGGAAGTGTCTCTATATATAAACAATTTAAGTTTTTCGTTAATGATGCAATGATTTCTATTTTTATTAATCAATGTTTAAATAGAAAGATTATATTACTAAGGTCATTAATGTATATTTCTTATTAGTTAATTAGATCGGCAATTATGACATATTATGAAATACATATAATTATGAAATATATGTAATATAAATATATTATATGCAAAAGAGAATGTAACTCGTACCTTGTGCTCCAAGCATAGTAGCTTTTACTGTAGACAGTATTTTTAATTGTGTTCCAATAGTAGGTATGCGTTCGCAAACTTGGAGAAGATTCTAAAAAATTATTACATAAAAATGACATATATATTTTAATAAATAATTATATTTTAATATCTAAGATTGATATAATCAGCAATAATGTACGAACCGTTCGAATACGTTTATCAGTACATTCCCTGGCTAGTTCCTTTGCAAGACGTGTCACTTCCTGAGAAGCTTCTGCGATAGCTTTGGCACATGCGATAAGATCTCGTTTATTACCACCTTCACCTCTAACTAGTCCTGATAATCTGCCCATTAAAATAGCCATCTTCTTTGCTGCAGCAATAATTTCGTTGTCCTTGCTGGACCATTGCCGTACTTCTTGATGTAAACCATGAGCGGCCATCTATACAACAGATTTCATAATGTTAATTCTGTTTTCCCTATGACTTTGAATTGATTTTAAAGACACTGCAAGGTCAAATTAATATCTTTTTATATCCTTTTCTAAACTACACAACTTTTGTTTGAAACATTTTATATTGCCAGTTTTTAAGAAATCTTAATACATTACTTAAAATGATATATGTAATATGTTTATATGTATATATATATATATATGTATA